ATATATATATATATATATATATATATGCACATTTTATATTTATTAATTCAGATAGGGCTTCAGCCAGAAAACTGGCTGACGCCCTATCTGAATAGATAGTTTTCTTTGCACCAAATAACACATATAGACATATATATGTATGTATGTGCAAGTGTACATATATGAGCGAGAACATGTACGTAAACATATGTAGCTATGCATTTTCATATGTACATATGTATTTACCTCGTGTTCCTTGCACTGATACTTGTTCACTGCGGCCTTGTAGGCCCTGCCTTTGAACCTTCCTACTAGTCGGTGTGTGCTCCACTCCTGATCTGCATTTGTGTATTTGCTTCTATGCTGATAGAAATCGCTGCCACCAATGGACATTTACTTGCTAGTATTTTCAGTATACGCATGATATGCGTATACTGATATAAAAAGGCTTTTACAGCGGCTGAGTCGGTGTTTTGAACGAGCAATGTTGCAAGACCTGTTTGCGCACGTTTAAAGGGAATTTCAGTTCACATGGAGAACTTGCTAACCGCAATAAAATATTTGTGACAACTTGCGCGTACAGGTTTCAAACCTGCCCATACAGCCAAGCGAGCATGCGCCGTATGGACGGTAAGCCGGGTGTCTTGCAGAGAACAAACGCCTAGGAGGCTAGAACGCTCTTGGGTGCTGCCCCTTTGAGTGGAAGCGGTAGGGTAAAAAGCAGATGTGCATGTAAATAAAAATTTTTAGTTAGTGATATGGAGAAATACAATATGCGTACTGGTCCTACGGAAACTTCCATTTGTATGTTCATAGATGAATATATCTGTATAGCAGTACCTGAATCCTATAATGACTGTGTAGAAGGCGTTGGTAATCTGTTTGGGTTCGTTTGCATGAGAGGGTCTTTCCTTGTTTTCCACCCATGCTACTCCTACTATTACAAGCAGTAATATTGTCGTGGTTATTATTGTTGTAATACGGGGGGTGCAGGTATTATAACTTCGCTAACGGATCACCGCGCTTGTCCGAGGCTTGTGCGACGTGCGTACGAGAAGGTGAGGAAGGCATTAGGACCCACGCAAAGGAGACATAGCTGGGATGCAGAGACCGTTCTTAACCGATATACATGAACACATAAACAAGTAGAGAAGCAAAGCGCTAGCAACAGTCAAAAAAGGAATAGGGACGGCTTCAGGCAATGGACAGAAAAGAAGGCATAAACCAACGATGTTGCAAGGAGGCTGATGGGCAGATAGGCATAGGATTCAGTGAGGCAGAAGATAGATACATGCAGGACTCCGATGTGTAGGAAAAATGCACCGTTTCTATGGCTTCTTGTTGTCCCTAGCCGCTCCTTGCGTTTGAAGCTTAACCCTTTAAACTATTCACTCTACAGGGCATGTAATATAATTTGTTTTTCTACCTGTTGGCTGCCGCTGCAGGTGAGGGCTTTCTGTGTGCGCCAAGTGCAACCCCCAGAGCCTGGGCCCCGTTCTCCCTCCTGCACAATTATGTAAACGCATAAGCATACCATCTATATATATATATATATATATATATATATATAACAAGAATACCTATCGCTAAGGTGTCGGATTTAGGGCTTTGTGTCCTGACGAGAGTAATTCCCAAAGACAGGGAATTGATTGCAGGGCAGAGAGAGCATAAATCATTCTGTGGCTTTTCTGCCTTTTTACCGTCCATCTCGCCCTCTGGTGATGCGACGAAGTTGTACCTTTGCTTAATTGGTATTGCGGCTGCTATTATTATTATTCGCATTCTTACCTCCTATTGTCTTCGCTGTCAATATCATTTGTGCATCACTGGTATTGTTCTTCTTACTCTTGCTAGTCACACATTTAGACTAGCCACGCGCACCAGCTAGAACCTGGGACTTCGTGTCTTATTAACTGAACTGATCTTAGGTAACTAAAGGATATTTCTCCTGTTATTTCCAAGTTTAAGTCCTAGCTGTGCACACCTTTGCCCACTTTCTTTTTAGGTAGCCTTCTTTGCTCTACAGATATTAGCTTCTACAGCCCGTCAGTATTCCTCGTCGCAAACTATACATACTGTATTTAAGCTGCATGCGGGTGTCGAATTGTATGCCTTTTCTGATTTTTGTCGCAGCTGCGGGCTGCTTGGTGTTGCATTTTCCATTCATTCTGTACGTCTTTGCACTTCTTATTCGGAGTCGGCACAGGACTGCAATACAATGTCTTACCTTCATCCCCTTTACTCTGTCTTGGTGCAATGAGGGGAAATTTTGTATCGGCTCTAAAGTGTCCATCGCATGCTGATGCGGAAAATTACTCAAGAGGAATAAACAATGGGGGAGGGGGGGGCAGAGCGGAAGGCGAAGTGCGTTCTTTGGTTGGAAAAGGAAGCCAGGTGCCGAACGTGGAGGCTTATGTTTACGCGTTGCAAAAGACTGGCAACTTACGTACATCCATTGACACCCTAAGAGGCATGGCGACCACTTTCCCCAGGGCCCACTCTGAAGGGCAATTGTACACTGCTGGAGAAGACAGCTGTTGTTTTTGTTCCTTCCGTGGTCCACTTTTGTGTACTGAGCTGTAAAACATCCGGATTATTCCTCTATCCTGCATACGCCAAGCACTTCCTAGCAACCTTTGTTTCGCAGAGCCCCAGCTTCTATGGACTAGCTACATTGTTCCACTGAAGGTGTACGAATTCGTGTTTATGTTTGCACTGAGCTGCGGCAACCGACTGGTCGTGCGTGTGCGATGTCCTAGGTCCTTCTGGTTCCTAATGCATTTTCTGGGATGGCTCATATCAGTAGAAAAAATACATTTAACGGAACATTTATGTAGCTTTAAACTGCTCCGATGAAAAAACCCAGAGGATTACTCTGTTAGATAACAGCAAGCAGAGTGGTTCTCCCTCCTCTACCACTGGATCAGCGCAGACGTGCGGTGGAAAGCAGAGAAAAATGCAACAATACCACATCACTTGTCCTTCTCTTCTACATAACACAACATAAAAGACACCATGGAGCCGTATTTCTACAAAGGGAGGGAAAGCGTTATACAGTGCAACTTGCGTACACGAACTGTACAATGACTGGGCGTACCTGTGCAACAGCTGCAAAAGTCTCACGTTCGAGGTAAAAGAGCAACGAATAGAATTGTTTCTTAACTTTGTTCTAACAATTACTGAAGCTTGTTAATTCTGCGTGCTTCCAAGTGAACCTGTTTTTATGCAGGTTTCCCAGGAGCCCGTTTTTCCTGCTGTGTAGCGCAGATGAGAATCGTCAGCGGCTTCAGGAGCGAAGGCGATCTGCGCATCGTTGGGCGTATTTTCGGGTTCAAAATAGAAATGTAGCTGATTATTTTCTTGCATTTCCTGGATCGTCTTCAATTCGTCTTGTCAATATCTATTGATTGGACGCACGAGCTATGAAGTGGTCATGCAGCTGCGATCACGCATACTACGGCCTTTGCATGCGGCTTGGGTCCTTGAACATAATTACATGCCATATTGACTCTCTTCCACCTCCGTTTTGACATTAAAGTCTGCTTTACACTTGGCACTGCAGCAGTAAGGGAAGCAGCCAAGCTGGACGAACTCGCTGCAGATCATTTTGCGCTCAACTAGCTCACGTTGACCTACTGTGGTGTCCTGTCTAAACGTCGCTTATCTCCTTGTGCCCAGATCCCTTCAAATTAAAGAGGGGAGCCGAGTACGGGCAAGGCGGGAAACATGGCGTTTCGTCTTTGTTTCACGCACACCTGCACAAGGCGCCAGCGCCAGTGTTCCGTGCATGGGCGCAACCCATAGGAAGCAGTGCATGCGTGGGATGGCCTGCGGCTTTTCGTGTTGTTTTCTCCTTGACGCTGCAAGGCAGTCTCTCTTGTCAAAGTACCCTTTTCACTGCAACGACCCCGCTCGCCACTGCGCCTCACTCAGCCAAAACTGCTGCCGGCCATGGCTCTCTCCATAGCTAGAAGTTCTTTAGGCGCGTCTCGCCGTAGGTGCCACTGGAGTGGGAGTATTCAAGATAGTTACAGCGATGCCTCCTTGTCAGCTGCGGCTTGCAGCAGAAGCGTTGCCGCTGCAACGGCAACACGGGGTGCGGCATCTGCTGCTGCTGATGCGGCTTCTTCGCCAACTGCACGTTCTGCAACGGAGGCAGCAACATGCAGTCCGGGCCCTAGGCCGATCTTTCGTCATCGCTACGGGCTAAACAGTCCCCGCCAGTTGTCGTCTTGGAGCTACAACTGGCGCTTGGTTGTCTATTGCTTTGCCTTAATTGCCCTTGTTCACAGCTTTTCGCCGGGATGTGCAGAACAGGGGGGCGCTGGAGTTCTCTCCACTGTCGAAGAAAGCCGAAGCGGCGGCGAAGACTGTCCCCGGAAAGCATTTGAAGGTAAGCAAGCACAAACCTGCCCTGTTGTCACAAGCCCGTCGTCTTTGCTTTGCCTCCTCCAGGAGGGGCTTGCGCTCTGTAGGCTGACTGCTTTAGAATCTGCACAGTGCTCGTGGGAACTGCAGATTTGTTGAGTCTTTTTTCAGTTTGGCGTCGAATGCTGCTTCTTCAGCACGAGAGGTTTCCTGCCTGTTGGGCTTGGGTTCAGGCGGTGTCAGGTGCAGCCCGCTCAAGTCGAAGAGACAGAGCATAAAATGTTCTTGCTTATGCAGCAGTAGTAAATGGCGTGTGGGTGTCTGCAGAAGGTGGGGACGCTGCCACTTCTCTCCTTGAGATAATCGAGGAGCGCAAGAAGGCCTGGGCGCTGGCAAAGGCAGTGGGGGAAAGGAAGCCCCAAGGTATAGAATGCAGCAGTGCTGTGTATGGACAGATTAATGCAGACGAAACCGTCTATGTCATCCCAGAAGAGGCTCCCAATTGCCGCAGTCTTTGCCGCGCGCTCCTGCACAAGTCAGTATACATCGCAGGCAACCATCGCGCATCCTCACCCACCTCGTGGCTTCCTCTGCATGCAGAGTATTTGGGATGCTTCACTGTGACTGCTTGCGGCTGACTTTCGGGTGTTCTGAGCAAGTGATACGGGTTCATATCCAGTCCATAATTGGCTTACTTCCTACTGTATCTGTGCCTTCTCTCGCTGGTTCTGTGGGGAAGCGCTTGGTGTGTCTCATGCCACGTGGGGTCCTTGCTGCTGCTGCTTTTTGTCGTTGCAGACACGGAGGCACCTGCGATGGGGCGTTGGACCCATACACGTGCTTGATGGAGCATCGTTCAGAGCGGTGGTTCCCTCAAGTGTACAGGGAGCGCTGTGTGTTTACGCGGCCTTCGCTGCAGCAACCTGACTTCGAGCGCAGCAGCTGCAGCGAGGATTGCCTGCGTCGTGGGATGGCTGCGTGGCTCAGGCTTCTTCGTCGAGGCGATCTTTCTTGGCAGTCCTTCCTGGAGCAGGTGCCCTACTCCTGCACATTTACAAGAGTTGACCCCGAAAGTACGTTTAGTGCACACTTCCGTCAGAAAATCCTTCGCAATGACGAGGCTGAGGACCCGTGCTAGTGCTGCGCCCATCAGCAGCAGCCGAAGCAGCAGCAACAACAGCTGCGCCAACAGTTCCAACAGCAGCAGCAAAAGTAGCAGCGGCAGTGAAGCCAGCAGCAGTAGGAGCAGCAGCAGTTGCCAGGCACGGCCTGTGGGTGGAAGGTAGCTCTTTATTGTAATATTGATAGGGCTTTGGCTGAACTTGGCTGGCTGAGCTGAGCAGGGGTGTGCTGGACTTCTTAGGTGCTTGTCGCATTACGGTTCACTGCCCACTGGACGCGTTTTTTTGCTTCTTCCTCGGAAGCATTGCGTTTCTTTCTCCGCATTGGTGCGCTAGAGTTTCATGGAGTGGCTGTAGACGGGCTTGTTTTTTTCTCTGTCGGTGGGGTGTGTTTGCGTGCTGCAGGAGATCGAGGGTCTGCACGCGCACAGACGCGTTTCTCGGAGAGTTCGTCACTGCGTGTGTTGCAGAAGGCCAGAACCGCGCGCTATTACATCATACACCGTAGGCTTAACGATCCAGAGGTCTCTGCTGCGGAGGAGGCGGAGTCGACGGTTGTGCCTGCGGAGTATTGGGAGGGCCTGGAGGTCGGTGAGAGAAGGGGATGGTCTGTAGCCAACACCTTCTACGCACCTGCCGACGAAAAAGAAGTGCTGCCGCTCGTGCAGCGCCTTACTGGCAAGCGCATTGGTCAGGCCATTTGCCTCTTCAGGGAGCAGCAGGATGGAGGGAGGGGGCGCTTTGGCATGGTCCCTGGGCGCTCTTGCGCCGGCTATATTGGTGTGTTGTACGTGCTGGCGCTGGAAAATCGCCCCTCTCTTGGCTTTGACGGGGGCTCTCTGGGGTTTGACTTGTGCGTTTCTCACCGGGTGCTCAAAGATAAAGTGATGGCAGATGATGCAGCAATCGAAACGCTGCGGATACGGACACGGGTGACGGTAGGGACACCCTGCGGGGTCGCGGGGGGCTTAGACAAGGGCCTGTGGGGTGTGGCTTTCTTCGCTGCGCGGTACCCCCAAGCCAGAGGCATTGAGGGCTTTCCAACCGGGGGCGACTGCCCGTGGCCAGGGGCGTTGCAGTTGGGTGCTAAGTGTTTTCTTAAGACGAGAGGACGCCGAGACGGGGACGCAAAAAACAACTTCTTCGCGGCAAATGCACAGTGCAGAAGCCTCGCAGCGGCTGTGGGGTTTGACCACGATGACGCCAGCCTCGCTGCCATCCAAAACGATATGGAATTCAACCTTGCCGGAGTGAGCTGCGGCTGCTGCGGGTACCGCTGCTGCTTATACTGCGGCTGTGTAGCAGAAAAAGCTAAGCGCTGGTTGTAATCATATGTAGATACCATAAGCTTTGCGGGACGGTGTATTCTACCACATATACCCGGACCCCTAGAATTCGGTGCTGCACAAAATGCCGTATTTCGGGGGGAATGTACACAGGTGGTTTGTCGCGAAGGCTCCGTAGCTTTACTTGTGGCAGCTCGTTTTAACCTTTCTGGGGCTCTAGGTTTCTCCTAAGCCCTTGTCGCAGAGTTTAGAGCACAATGTGTCTGGCAAGCATCTGCACAGTGTCTCCTTGGGGGCGAGTAAAAAGGGCGCTGCTTGCTTTGGTGGCGAAAAGTTGGGTGGTCGCGATTTCATTTAGCTATGAGGAAGGCAATTGATTTTTAAGGGAGACGGTGTATTCCTATTCGACTCAGGGGTGTTCCTTCTGATATAGAGTGTGGTTATGGAGGCCGAGAGCGTCTCTGAGGTGAGATCCCACAGAAACCGACTTGAGTGCTGGTACGTGGTTTTGAGTGCAGGAAATGGTATCGGGAGTTGGCGATTCATGGATGGGTTTGTTCCAGCCGGGGCAGTGTCCGTTGGTGTCTCCTGGAGTTGGGGCTACATGCAGACGCAAAGAAGAGGATTGCTCGGAGGCAGCCTTGACTTCTCCCGACAAACTCGGCAACCGTCTCAGCGCCATTGTCGCCTCTTGCCCAGCTGCGCGCACCTGGCCCCCCTGGAAGCCTATCAGCGCACACTCCCCGCCCACGTAAGACCAGCAATTACCTTAAGTTCTGGCCCTACAGAACAAAAGCAGCAGCAGCAGCAGCGACGGCAGCGGCGGTTCTAGGGATTGGCATGCACTCCCGTGTCAGCTTGCCCTCAAGGTAGGCTGCTGTATGCCCAGGAGAACTTTTGTGGCTGAACAAGAAGCCACTGCCTCTCTTTCTCTTCGGTGCATGCATGCATGCGTGTGCAGCTGGGACCCCCTATTCTGTGACGGACATCCTCAAGCGCTGGATGGGGAGAAATTTGCCGACTGCGCATCCCTTACTCAACAGGGGGCGGGGCCTCCCTGTCTGCGGGCGAGGAGTTGCGACGCCTCGTTAGCGGCTGTCTGCTCCTTGCGCCTCAGGACAGGTACACTGCTCGCTTGCATGGGCAGCAGAGGCTGGCTGCTGGTGCTGCGCGTGTCTTATACCCAGTTTCGTCGAGGCAGCATTTGTAGAACGGAAATGAATAGAACACTGAGGAATATAAGACAGGCTGGCGGCACTGATGCAAACGGGGGGATCGTGTCTGCTTATGCATTCCTCTTGGTGCTTTAGGCCCACGAATATTGTCGAAGGGGAACCGAGGAGCGCGGGACGTGCCTCTGGTACTCTGCAGCGACGCGAAGAACTGCTGGCTGACCCTGAAAATGCCAGATGCTGACTGGTGGGGGGAGACGGTGGAGCGGCGTCCTCACAAGGACCAACCCTTTCCCCCAGGATACTTGGCGTTAATGCGATTCTGCGGGACTGGCTCATTTCTTGCCGGCCCGTGGCCGGTGCAACCCCACATTAACTTGGTAAACGACGCCCGTCTGACGGAGCTGCCAGCTGGAGTGTACGAGATCTGCTACTGCTCGCCTGTACGGGTCGGAGGTGCAGCTGTCTCCTGTGGTGAGGGCGAACAGTTTACGTTTTTGCGCGGTATGCTGCAATTAAGCAACAATGAGGGCACCACCCGCCTCGGCGCCTCTCCCGCCAGCGGGGTAGGGCCTGTGAGGACTGCTGGTGCGGACGTTTCCTCTGCGGCCTTCAAGCTGTTGGCCGGTGCAGGAGCAACAGAAGCAGCGGGCGTATTGCTGGAGGCGCTGCCCAGCGAGTTTGGCCCTGAGTTGGTTTTCTGCACAGTGGGAGAGGACAGGCGCACTGACAGCTCTTGCCGTTTCACCCTCCGCAGTGCAGCGGACACAGAGATATCTGTCGCTTTGTCTATTGTGCCCGTTACGGAAGATGCAGGAGACGGTGCAGAACTGTGCACTCTGCCGGGGATTACGGTGGCGGTGTCAGTAAAGGGGGAGGCAGAGGTCGAGGTGCCTTCCTTCCTTCCTCGAAGCCTCCAATACGCGATCTGCGGGAATGGATTTTTTCTAGGGACACTGATCGTCTCAGGTAGGTCCTTTATTTCTTCTTTTGCACTAGAGCAGGGCCAGCATCCAGCCAAGGACGCTCTTAATGATGAACCTCACTTGGGGAAGGGCTTCGTCGCAACCTGAGTTTGCGCCCATACCTGCTGCTGCTCCTTTTTGGTGCTGCTTTCAGCAATGGTGAAAGCTGGACCCGACGCACTCTCCGGTGAGTGTCGAACTCCGTGTTTACTCCGTTATCTCCATCGTTGGCGGTCTCAACTGAGAGGCGAGCAAGGCGCAAGACGGAACAGGAATTGCTAATCCAGGAGCATTGGCACGGACCACAGGATTTGCTCTGTTGTGTGCATCTGCCTTCCCTCTCTCATTTCTTGTTTTCCCTCATCTGCCTGCGTGCTTGTGCGTTCTGCAGAAGGATTTAGCTTCGCCCAATCAAGTGAGACAGGGATCCTACAGCAGCGCGGCCTCCCGCGCTTCCAGCTGCTGCGGGGGTGCACAGCGCTGCTACGTAGGGACACATGGGGGGATAGGCCGGGGTAGCAACTTTGGTGCACCTAAGTCCCAACCCCTCGCCGCCTTCTCTAGCCTTTCCCGCCCTGCCTGCGTGCCTGTCTCACAGCTTGCATTAGGTATTTTATACGCTAGTATCAGCTGGGTTTGTGTGCGTTTGTGTGTTTGACTCTCTTTTCCAAAGGATGGTGGAATGTCCAGTTGAGGGGTGAGCTTTTGGGCCCTTGAGTGGTAGTTGTTCCACCCTGTCGCAAAAGAGGTCTTCTTGGGGACTGGTGTCAGCTCGCGTCCCCAATAGCTCTCAGCGCGGTTCCTTTGAAACGAGAGATATCCCGCAGCTTTTCATGCTGCTAGAAAAGTTGCAGCTTTGTAGAGGTAGCGCACACTTACTAGGCAAGCTGATGGCGCTGTACCTGAGCACGATTTCAGTGTACTTCTGTGCATGCAATGCTGTGTTGGGGCTGGGCAGACCTGACGCTGAAGTTTCCAGACGAGAAGATAAACAACGCTTTCCTGGAAGTAGTAGTGGAGGGCTTCAGCTCGATTGACTTGGCAGAGAACGTGGTGCTGTCCGTAATTGAGGCAGAGACGGTGCAAGACACGAGCTGCAATCAGCAGCTCGCCACAACGCAGGCTGATGGCGGCACGTACTCTGGGAAGTTCGACGAAGTGCAGCTGCTGCTGACGTTTACAGTTCCTGCCCCCTCAGTTCGCTCCAAACTCTGTCTTGTCAATCCCGTCACCGAGTACTTCACGGACATCACTAGCCTGGGGCAAGCCCCTCTGCCCACGCTTCCTGAGAGGGTCACCGCGGGGGAAGGCCGCTGTTCTTTGGCTTCCAAGGGAGACTGCGTCATAGGCCTCTACCCGGACGCAAGCACCATTGACCAGCCCTGGGTGCGCGCACACTTCGTTGCTGCTGCAGGACAGCAGGCACACCCGTCCCAGAAGGCCTGCGGTTGACTCCCTTAGTCACAGACGAGCTTTCTGCAGGAGCTGCGACTTTCCTCCCTTATTTTTTTTGCTTTCACTCCAGGATGACTGCATGCACGCATATGCGAATTCTGTTGGGGATGCTGCTGCAGGCAGCCTTTTACCCGCAGACCGTCGCTGTGAAGTTGCTGAAGGGCATGGTGGAGTGCCCTAGTGACCCTTCGGATCCCGTCTTCGAAGTCTTCGCAGGGGACGTGGCTGACACGGCGGCTTTGCTGCAGGCAAGCGCGCTGTCGATGACATTGACGCATGCAGACTCCGTCAAGCTGATGTTTTCCGTGGAACCCAAACTCAAACAGTGGGTTGCCAACGCCGAAGTTGCCACCATCTGCATGACACAAGAGGGACTGAAAAACCCAACACAGACCTGCTGGGAGAACGAGCGATGCACTCAGTTTCTTGGATACATGCGCTGGACAGGTGAGGATGCGTCTCCAGCGGGGGATGCAGCACTAGAGCCGTATTGCATGTGGACCTGCGGAGCAGTTAGGGAGCCACATGAGTGCAAGCTGTGCGTGGCGTTGCGGGGAAGCCTGAGGGGGTTGTTGGTGGGCAGGTTCTCTTGAATCCTGTAAGTGAACGCGGTAGATCTGTGCCAGAATTTGACGCTTCCTACGCTGAATTCCTTTACCGCCGCAGGCCCAACGGCGGGATACGAGCAGTTCTTCCTGTGTCAGCGCGGACAAGCATGCGACATCGAGATCCGCGGGAAAAACATGAACTTTCTCAGCATGCACTTCAGTCGTCTAGCGGCTCTTGACGCTTGTGGGGTGAGTGGATGTCCTCGGAGGGGTCTGGGCAGCCTCAGGACTGCAACAAGAGCGCTAGCCTTGCTTCACCGTCTGCGCATAGTCTTTACTTAATGGCCGTGCTCATGAAGGGCCTCTGGTTGCTGCTGACACCTTGACGTGCTGGTCAGGGTTGTCAGAAGTGGCCAGCGTCGTTGTGGGTGTGGGGGTAACCGCATGCAGCTGAGCGTACATCTCTGCATATATGCATGCTTAAGCATGCGCAAGTACAATAGCGCATACGCTTCTGCGTTGGGTGCCTATCAATTCAGAAAGTCTCAGGAGAAGGAAGCCTGCCTCTTTCGGGAGCTTTGCGAGGCGTGGACCTGTCCTTGCCTTCGGACCATTCCAGCTTCTCGCAGATCTCGGCCGCCGGCGAGCGTGTTCAGGAGGGTGAGGGGGCTCCGACTGCTGGTGAGTGCCATGATGTGCAGACGTGCTGTGTGTCCCCTCCTTAAAAACCGATAGCCAACTTCCTGCAGCTGTTGTTGGGCCGTTTTGGAGGTCATCCTTTTAGGTGACAAGAATACAGACAAGGCCAGGCTTTTTTTCGCAGCAGGAGGTCTCTTGCCTGCTGAGCGATGAGTGTGCGCCTTCAGCAGATTCCGCCTTTTTGGAGGTCATGGATGAACCTGCTGATGAGCAGGTATCGGCGACTGTATTTCAGGAAGTTAGGAGCACCCAACTCTTTTCGACGACAGTTCACTTCGACCTGAACACTAGTATCGACCGGGACAGCTTGGAGCTGTGCTGGAACCCCTCAGTGGGCTCTGTGCACCACCTGCTGGACCACACCGTGTCCGTAGGTCGCGTCCTTTTCCTACCCTGGCCCTCTTTACAATGTGAGGTGCACACGCTGCCCAGGGATTCGTTCCCCCTGCCCATTCTTGCCTTCTTGGCGGCTGCAACGGATGTTAGTTTGACCTAATCCCTGGCTCTTACCCGATGCTCACCGGACATAGGAGCAAGGACAGATAGCGAAGTAAACACTGAGCGAGAAGCAGGGAAAGAGGAGGGAAACGGATATAGAGCATCGTAGATAGAAACGGAGAGGCGCACAAACATCCATGCATGCATCTTGCCCTACTCACAGACAAATAGAAGCATAGGATTGTGGGGAGTCGGAACTGGCTGTGGGCCCACTGGTGCTCGCTGAAAAGGGGCCTTGATGATATATGAGCTTGCGTGAGTGCTTGCCTCAGACAATGTGCGTGCCTGTTCGCTGCAGCTGTAAAGTTACCACCTGCGTTGTTTGACAGTCCGGTTATGGCCGTGACGCTTCAGATTTCAGCCCGGCTAGTGCCGCCTTTCCTTAGAGGGTCCACGAAAGTCTACCTTAAGAGAGCCCCCACAGACAAGGACGTGGACACCTGCAGCTTCGCTGAGGACGCGCGGGAAGGAGCGATCACGGCCTATCTGTCGGTCTCGGAGGCCAAGGAAACGGACGACGGGCAAAGCTTAGTGACTGTCGTTGCTTCAGTTCAGCAGCATACTTCCTCTGTCTGCTGGGTTCAGTTTCACACACCATCTAGCTTCACGGAGGATTCCGTGCAGACGTAAGCTTAAAAGGAAGTTGCCGCATGCTGAATGGCATGAGATAACTGGAGTTAGTGGGTACCTTAAACACTCAGTGCATTGTCTTCAACTGTAAATTTTCAAGGCAGAAAACTGCTTTTTACTGTTTCAGGACCTATCTCGGGAGGCTTCCAGGACTTGAATTGCCATCCTCTGATATTGAAGCCACCTGCAGCGTTGACGTAGCTGCCAGCTGCACAGCGACAAGAGCACTGCAGTTCAGTTCGGTGTTAGATGCGAATGGGCAAGCGCTGCAAACTGTGAGCCAAGCACTCGTTGCGCCTTTACGGTTGTGATAGACTTCGTGACAGTTCGCACTATCGTGCACTTCATGCAAAGCTCCTGCATCGTGAAGCTATAGGAAGAGGTGCGGTTTGCGTTTGCTGCTTGTCTCAGCTTGCCTTGCTTCCTCCAAACACGACCGTTGCGGCGGTTCCCCAGGATGTGTGTCCTTCGACACCTGGGGAGATCGACTTCACCACTCCTACGAACAAACAGGGGATTAGTTCGGAAAAGCTTGAGAGCAGCATCACTGGGAATTCAGTGACTGTTACTTTGGACCGAAATTCGCGTCTTCTCAAGAAGCGCGGTTTTGCAGCTCTGTGCATAGTGGACAACGATTGCGTAGACCCCGTTGCGAAACCATGCGTGAAGCAGCTGGGGACTGCTAAGTGGAAAGGACCGACCGCTTCACCCTACACGGAGCAACTCTGCGAACAGCTGGAGGCCGGACGCTGCCGGGTCACAGTTGCAGGCTTTGAAATGACTTCTCTGGATTATGGCGTGCCCAGGTTGGCGCTCTCCAGAAGCTGCGGTGTGAGTCTTCCTACACTGCCTGTACTTGGAACTCTCAGGACTTGCTTGTGCCTGCGGGGCCTCCGCTGCTGCACTCTTGCATGCGTTCCTCACAAGGGGTATTAGATGTGACGGAGCAACTTTCATATGCTTTCGTCGGGGGATTTATCTGGCTGGAATTTCGCAGGATGCTAACTCGACTTCGTGGGCTGTGGGTGAGAACGACGGCGCAGAGGAAGGAACAGCAACGTTTCTAGTGCCTGCAGAGGCGGGCACCGGATACCAGCTGTGCTGGAATACCAAGGCCACTCCTGGGTCCTCAAAGGATGCCGACTCCGATGAATTCAAGGCAAACTTCAACCTGGCAGTGTCCAGCATCTCGTTTCTACCTTTCCCCATCGTAAAAGGTGAGGGCAGTACTAAGCGCCAACATGCAGATAGAACGGGGGCATAAACCCCAGTGCATACACTGCACACTAGAGAGCAAGGCTAACCGACTCTGCATGTTGTGTCCAAGCAAGACATTCTAAAGTGCAGCTTTGGGTTCTCCTCACTGAAAGGCTTCTGAGATGTGTTGTCAATGTCTCAGCGCGCAGGGTTAGTAGGAGGTCTCCATATTCTGCTAGTGTGGTGGTTCAAGTAAGCGCTTTGCTGGACGAGAAGACGGCCAAAGAGTTTGGAGGACGTGCTCCCAAGCAAGGCCTGTGGTGCAGCATAAGCGTCGACGCCTTCACGGACGGCTCTAGCTGTAGCAGCGGCAGCAAACTCGTGACCCAGCCCCAGGCACAAGTGACTTTCGAGAAAGTCATGATTCGCAATCGCCAAGACGGTTCACCGGTGGAAACAGGCACAGATGGCACAGAGGCCACGGTGGCCATCATGTCCTTCGAGATGCAGGCGGGAAAAACGCCCACCACCTACTGCTGGACTACCATGTTTTCCGGAGGAACGTCTGTTCCCGTCAGGAAAAGTTGGTGAGATGGTCGCATAGCTGCGGCTTTCCCCTGTATTTTTTGCCTCCTGAAAAGCATTTGAAGCCTCCTACGTTTTGTTGGCACGTTAGCTACTTCCGAGCAGCGAGCGCTTACAAACTGTCTCGTTGTTTGTCATTCTGCGCAGGACACCCCTGGTAAGCGTCTCGGGGCCTACGCCTGGACACCTTGGAGGGTCCATCTCAAACACTGCGATCGCCTTGGGCTTTGTTCCGTGCATGTCGGGCAGCACAGAGGCATCTGCCTGTATCTTCGGCGTGACTGCTAGGCCACCAGATGACCCTGCCTTATTTCCTACCAACGAGGTCAGTGAGAAAGCAGGTGCTTGAGCCGTTCTGGTAAGGAAGGTGGATGCCAGACATGTTCCCGTTACAAAGCAGCTGATCACTTGTGTGCCCCCACATGTGCCTCACGCGCTGAATACATATTTACCGTTACACTACGGCTGTTTGTTGCCGATGTTGCTGTTGCAGCCGTGGATTCTTCCAGAACAAAGCAGTGTGATTTTGCTCCCTGGGGAAACTGAATGCCCCAGCAAAGACAACTCTATCTATAAGAGTGCTGTGGGGCTCGAGGCCTCGGAGTTAAGTACCAACTCGCCGTTGAGCCTCTCAGCCGAGCCGATATCTGATGGTGAGGTGGTGGAGTACGCGACCTACAGGTTTGGCTCTGCAAGAGCCTGGCTATCTGAGAACGGCTCCGCCACAATATGCTGGCGGGACGATGGCACTGGCGAATCGATCAAAATCGCTAATGTGCTCTGGGTAGGGCCTCTTTTCAAGCGGAAGCCCATACAACTATCTTGTTCTCACAGCGGCGCATGTCCAATTACCGTTCAAGGCAAAAACCTCACAAAGTTAGACCACTCTTTCAGTAGGGTGGCGGTTCTCCAGAAGTGCGGAGAGGCCAGGGGCCTTGGAACTGCACAGCTCCGGTCCGCAAAGGTTGGGGGTTCAAGCTTTCTTATATTAGGCTCTCACAGTTCGCGAGGCCTCCTGACAGAAAACGACCTGAAGCCCGGTATGGCTGTAGCCGCTGTGCACGAATATGTGTATTTTGGTCCCGTTGCATGATTGGAAATTTAGGGAGATTTTAAGGGGAGCCTCATTTGTCTTCTCTTTTGAGTCTTGGGGGCATCTAGGGAATAATATTCGTTCCCACGTTTTATGGTTGGCTGCGTTTTTGCAGTGAATTTCTGGGTACTTCCCAGAACTATCTTCCACACGCGCTGCAAGCGAGGTACGACTCCTGAGTTTGTGGAGGCTCGGTGGGTAGATACGCGGGGAGTTTGCGGGGAGGTGGACGTGGCGGATTTGTTGAATGCTCATTGCAAAGGCAGGAGGCTTTGCTTCTTTATTCCCGTGGCTCGTATTCCTTCTGAGTCAGCCGGAGGCAAAAACGCTGCCTTGCAGGTGTCTGTGCCAGACACCTGTGAAGACACTAGCTCAAGGAAGCTTTTTGGCGTGTATCGTTGCGTTGGTACGTACGCCGTTGAATATGCCAGCAGGATATTTTCACCTTGGTATTTGTCAGTGGGTAGCAGCTAGCCGTGCGCATGCCAAGTAAAGCTGCATACCCCAGCACTTCACGTGCAAACAGTGTGTCGCTACATTTTTTCACATCCTGAGTTGATTGTGTTCCCCTCCGTGGCTGCGGATTCAGATGATACAACCTCTTCGACGAACGGAGAGAACGGTTCAGTAGGCGAGCTCGAGGAGGGCTTGGTGATGGTGGAGCTTTCCACCAAAATCCAGGTCAGGGACACCGCAATCGAGGATGAGGGAGCAGGATCAGGGCATGAATCAGGAACAAAACTACGACTACAAGCATACAAAAAACGAGGACCAAAACTATCACCAGAACCAGGACCTGTAGCACTACTACAATTACAAGAACCAGAACAGGGACTAGAATCACCTTCCGACAGAAACAGCTCTACCTCCAATGAAAGCTCTTCTGTCTCCGATGAAAGCATTTCATTCTGGGCCCCTCAAGGTTCTCCAGGACTTTATGAGATTTGCTGGAACCCTCATATCTCTCCTAACCACGACCCTTCCGCGTACTCAGAGTCTCTAGGTATCATTGAGGTGTTCCCTGTCCTCTCCATTGTGGGTGAGCATTCGTGCTTCTGGAGGGGGCTTTGATCTGTGCATTCATGGGCAGTGATCCTGTGTTTTTGCATCTACCACTATAAAGGAGGGTCAGACGGGCGTCAGGGGCGACCCTGCGTACTTGCTAGGGCAGTAAGCGTTGCTGCGATGACCTTATCCTCGATCAGAAGGGTAGGTAGGGGCAAGAGTGGGTGTGCGGCCTTCTTTGCAGATGAAGCGGTGGTTTGCTCGGGAACAGAACTTTCCACTTGCACCCTGCAGGTGACTGTGGGCGCTCAAGAAACGATTGACGATGGCCAATCGTTCGGTTTGCTGTTAGAAGATCAAGATGGGGCTGCAACTTGCGGGAAAGTTACTGAGGAGCAGTGGGATGCTGTCGTCTTGCCCCACCAGTCGTCGTGGAGTGGAGCGAGCTACCTAACCGAACTGACATATTCTACGCAGCTTCCAACTGAGAGCCGGAAGCTGTGCATTGTGGCTGTGTCCGCGAACATTAAGACCTTCGGTACACCGTATGTTTGCCACGTTCTTTTTTGGAGTGTTCTGCAAGTGCTGCATACTAGGATACGCATCTACGCGGGCCCCGGCAGCACTGGCCTCACTACATAGGGAGAGCGGTTGCTGATCATGCAGCTTCTGCAGAAGCAGCAGCAGTAGCCGCAGCAATACAGCTGAACCCCCTGTGTGAGCTTTGTTCTTCAGGCAGTACGTAGGAAACGTTCCAGGACCGTCCGCTCCTACAGAGCTCCCCGGTGGCGAGGCAGTTTGCTTAAATGGTGATACGGAGCACTGCCATGTTAAAGTTGCCCCTGAAGACGCCTCCAAGTATTACATTCTTGACAACCGCATACCGGACGAAGACGAAACCAGCCCTTCTTTCGATGCATTCGCCAACTTGGTACGTCCTCTTGTCGTCACCCTTTGTTGGGCGCAGATTATGGAGTGTTTAGCTTAAATGCAAATGGCGCCTTCCCTTTCTTAACGCGGAGTGGTAGCAGCCCTTGGCGGAGTCACGAGGGTGATGCCTTTTAGTTTTGGACGGGAAACCCCGCGTTGCTGCCTGAGTTGTCTTGTGCGCACCACTCAGAAACCGCACCTCGAGCCAGACTCAAGCGTCTATGCGTTTCAAGGCGATGTCGCCTGTCCCGAGAGCCAGTCCGATGAAAGGTATTTGAAGGCAACGACAGTCCCCGCTGATGGTGTAACGAAGTTAGCTTTATCAGCCTCAGAGATAGATGGCCTAACATTTCGCTTCACGGACGAGCAGACAGCATGGCTTACCTCCTCCACGGGTGTAACCTTATGCTGGGCACTGCCACTGTGCTCTGAAGACCCTCTGAAGAACGGATCCCGGCCATGCACAAAGCGACTTGGAACACTTACGTGGGCCGGTAAGCGGTGAGAAGGTTGTGCAAGGTGTTCCACTTGCTCATTCAAGAACACGTACAATTCATGCTGCCTTTCGCAAGGCAGTGACTGGCGTTGGGATGCCCTCGGTTTGTAGTAGCTAACGGCTTCAAGCACACCATTCCTGGGTTCCTGGGCCTTAGCGCTCTATTTGCGCGTCTTTGTGCTGGGATCGTCTGGAAGCTGTGCTGTTAAGAGAGCTTCGTGAGCCATCACACCCCCTTTTCATATTTGCCACTGCTGCGCTTCAGGCCCCGTCGTCCAGAAACCGTTGCCAACAGTCCGATGCAGGCTCGGGCAACCTTGTGCATTCGTAGTGGTAGGGACGAAACTGGCGGCGATGAATCACGAGATTAGTCGAGTGGCTTTTGTGAAGTCTTGCGGGGTGAGTCAGCCTACAGCATCCATCCCAACGTTAGTAAGCTGAATAAATGCTGTGACCAAAAGTTTTAAGCCGCCGCTTCCTGTGCAACTTCAGAGCTCAGAGGGTCCTGGCATTGGCATCGTGACGGAGTTTCCCCGAGGATACACTTCCGCCAGCTCTGAGGGGAGTGAGGCCTATATACTCACCACACCATTGTAGACGGAGCGCCACCCGAGATACAGCTGCTGCATCTTATAAGTGCTGCTTCTGAAGCCAGATCAGATGAGCACGCAGGGAGTAAACCCAGTCTTGTACTATGCCTCTCGCGTGTGTGTGTCTAATTTCAGGCTGGGTGAGCGGGTCGAGTTTTGCTGAACTTAAGTCAAGGCGAACAAGACGCGGAAGCAGTTACCTGAGGGGCAGGGAGAAGCGTTTGCCACGCCTGGAGGACAGGATGTTATCTTTGTTACAACAGGACGATCAGGAGCTTTTCTCAGTTGACAGCATGACTGTCATTTCGCCGCTGCCTGTGGACGACAGTCTGGCAGTATGTTGGAACCCCTTGCGGACTCCCACAGACCAGCTGGAAGACTTTACCTTGGAGATTGGCAAGGCATTTGGCTACGGTAAGCTTCAGTGCGTAGTCCATATCTGGAGGTGTGAGACTACGCCATGCCTTATGCGGTGCTTATAGGAACAGCCCTAAGAGTCTACCAGAGGAATTTGCCTCCCGTTTAAAGTGAGTTGTATTTTGTGCTTCATGTATGTACAGGCATCAGTGAAATAACTGCCTTTTGTACTTCGGGCTCCGTTTGTGGCGTCGACGTCACTACGAAGGGCTCTTTCCCGGTTGACGGAGTTTTAAACATAAGGGCTTTCAAAGAGTTTTGTGGATATGAATCTGCGGCTGCGCTAGAACTCCCGGACGGCGGTAGGGCATGCAACTGCGCACGCAATCGCTGATATGCGAAGAGCCCCCATTATAGTGCAGTCCTAGTTTCCCTTTATAAGCTCTTCTCCGAGCTTTTGAACTGGACGGGGAATAGCAGCGTGGCCAGTACCTCTCCGGGTCTCTCTGCGTCGGTTCAGGACAATTCAAGTTCTTGAGCGGAACAATCTACACATTTTCTTCGGCAATCGGCATGAAGGAGCCTGAGCTGATAACCTATGAATTGTGCTGGTGTGACGAGCAATCCACGCCTGAGTGCAACGTGACCAACTACATCGAACGCGTTGGTTCTCTGCAGGTTCAGTGTGAGTCTGGGAGCCCTCCCACGCAGTTGCCTCTCATTATAGCATTAGTTTGAGCATATCCAAATCCGTAGTTGAGCAGCTCCTTGACTGGCTAGCAAATAAACAGATGCAGGGCCACAACACACGGTAGCACGGCAATATTTGGGGACACATCCTTGATGTGCTTTGTCGATTCACCTCAGCCATGCAGCAGCTGCAGGTGATTTGCATAAAGGATGCAAGCAGCATATGCAGAATAACTCTTCCCGCTAGCATGGAGAGAGATTCCCTTTTGTACATCTCCAAGATGACGAGCAGTTCGCCAGCCACGTGCACTACCCCCTACTACCCTCTACCAACAGGACGCGGAGTTGTCAGTGGGGACAAACTTGAAATAAGCGTTGCTTTCAGCTCCCTGGAAGCCACAGGTCTGGTTGACTTGCCCCTGGCCATTTGCTGGACCCAGAATTCAGACGCCACAAAGAGTATTCCTGAATGGAGTAGTTCGTTCATCGGTACACTGATCTTCGTCGACCCTCACGCCAGTGCAAATACCACATTTGCTGGCGTGCCCCCCATCATTCGCGTCGATGTTACTGGCTTGACCAGCGAACAAAAGACAGAAGACGGCTTGCCGCTCCCTTTGCAGCAGCTGTACCTCAAGGACAAGGGAACGTGCGCGTCTTCAACATCAAGTGTTGCTTTTCCTCTCAGTGTTCAGTCAGTAGAGGCAGTGAAAGGTAAGTAACCATATTTAATAAAAATTTGCAAGCGTATGGAGGCTTGTGACTCTGTCAGCTGGCAAAGTGGACTCAGCACGCTGGCTTGTGTTGACTCGCAGGAGGAACCGGCCTTCAAATAACCTTTGGGACGTCGGACCTTATTCCGATTGTCCTCCAGGAGGTAGAAACAAGCGTGCGTGAGCTTTCTCTCTGCTGGTGCTATAACGATTCAATGTGCGTCAACTCTGAAGATTTTGACTCAGAGCTTTCAAGAGTGGCTTTCCGTGCTCCAGCTTCAGGGGTGTCGCACGAGTGTACGTACGACACTACCTGTTCCCTGGGCATCAAGGATATCCCGATGACGGAGTTCGCGTCGTTCCTTCCCCAACTCCTTATCCGGCCTGACTGCGCAGGTAGACGCACGTTACCATGTGGAATTCTGGGGGGGGGTCACTTGGATTGTAGGCGGCATGTCAATGCACGCTTGCCTACAGCGACTTTCCTTATAATTGTTTGCATGGGTGAGTCCTGCGATGCCTTTTAGTCGACTCGGCGGATGATGGACTTCCAGATGGCGGAACGATGGCACTGCGATTGACAACAGAGAAGCCGACTCCGACTGACGGGGACTCCGGTTCTCCATTTGAAGACCACATGTATGGATTCAGGTCTCTGGTGAATCGCGAGCGGGCTCTAGGTGGAATGCAGCAAGTGCAGAAAATGATATGCTACTGTACTGACTCAACAGCATGTACACCGGATCGCCTAGTGAACATTGGGACATTGACTATAACGGGTGGGTTCTCTAGGCGGTGTCTGTCGGCGTTCCCTCTTCAGCCAAGCTGCATCTCAAGGACTGTTCACCTGAGCTTATCGAATGTTGCATGGATGAACCTTTTGTTGTTTGCGCAGACGTATGGAACACTGAGTTTCGGGTGTCTTTAGTGCAACCCATTCAGCTGCCGTTTACTGTCCACAGTCCACTGAAGCAGCAAGACAGCCAGCGGAGACTGTTGGTAACGCGAGGGGAAAATTCGCTCCCTTGCGTCTTGGAACAGCAAGCTGACATCTGCACAGTCAACTTTCAGGACTTTCCGGCGGACACCTTGACATCTCCTGACCCGGCTAGTCTCCAATATTACGATTCGAGCCTTCCCCAAGATACCGTTGACACTCGCCCAGTTCCATACGTGGCAATAGCTTCTCTAGTTCCAGCAGGTGCGTTGTAGTTTTTATCCGCTATGCATCAGGACTTATCCTGGAACGGCATGGGGACGCCCTTGCAGACTGAAGTCTAATTTAACATCACTCTGTGTGCAGGTCCATGGAAGGCGGACTACGCGTTTACGTGCGTTGTCGGAGGAAACTGTGAGGTTACAATAGATGTCGTAAACTGGAATGCAGAAGACAAAGTAGCCTTGCTGTCACGTTGCGGACACGGTGGAACGGGCGAAGTGGGCTTCAACCAGACCTCAGAGGGCGCCGACGGGAGCTCTACTTCAGTCGTTTTCCGATGGACAAGCCGTTTGGAACTCTCGGCCAGCCAAATGGAAACTGGCCTTGAGCTGTGTTGGAAGGCAGTCGAAGATGCACTGTTTCCTCTTGGCGCCATCAGTGATTACACTGCGAAGTTTGGCACTGTCTCGATTGCAGGTAATAACGCATTTATCTCCGTGGGTACTGTTAGTTTTTTTACTTGTATGCTGGGAATGTACCAGTTCTACGGTTGCTCGACAAATGCTTAACGGCTGCGTATTTCCAATACCCCGTTGCTTCTCAGGCGTTTTTCCCAACCAAGACGCATCTTGTTACGTCGGTCAGAGGTGCATAGTTAAGAACCTCAAGGCACAGAACCTTTCTAATGGCACGCATGTCGCAGTGCTTGACGGGGGTTGCGGTCAAGATGGGGTAGAGTGGAGCCTTGCTCCAAACGGAGGACTTATGGTCACAGACACTGTCAACCCGAAGAAAATAACTGTTTCCTTTCCGGGAAGGCTACCAGGTTAGGACTTTTCTCTACACTTACAGACAAAACCCGTTGAGTGTTTCCTTATAGCAACGCATGAGGACCGACTGCGTGGGTGGTTTGCTCATTTTATTCGGAGAATCTAGATGCGATGTTGTGTGCTTTGTGCAGTAATGGATACCGGCTCGTTAGTAATGTGCGGGTGTAGTGAACGTGAGTGCACAACTTTACAAGACTATGGATGGCGCATAGGGGAATTGTCGATTAAAGGGCCAACCTCCCACGCACCCCACTTGGAGGTGTTTGCAACTTCGGATATTCGCCTGTCGTTGTCGGGGGATTTCGATGACATGTTCTACTTGCTGTTAAAGGAAGGGGTCAGCTGCACAGCTGGTCGAGCAGACCCATCCTGGAACTTGCAAGGGTTTTCACCAATTACTGAGGGAAAGGCTGCGTGGGCGCCCTTCAACACGGGTGTAGGGCCCCTTTCCATATGCATTTGTCACGATAAGGTGACCGGCCTTTCGGATCCTTTTGGAAACCCATCTGAAGTCCCAACCACCTGCGAGAAAGCGTCAAATTACGCAGTCAAAGTCGGCCAAGTCTTCGTCAATGGACCGGTTAAGCACGACACTAAATTTACCTGCCGTTCAGGGTCCGTTTGCACCATAAAGATTCGATACATTGCAATGGACTCTGAGGCAACGAGAGAGCAATGGGCGAAGAGCCAAGTGTACACGCAGAATGTAAGCTGTCCAAACCATGAGGGAGTGTCGTGGGATAGTGAGGTCGTCAAACTCTTCGCAACGGGCGTTTTAAAACTCCATGACTCATGGTGTTAAGCTTTGTTGCTGTTAACCGAATTTAATGCAGGAGGACTGTAGCATCGCTGGGACAGTGCTACTGTCTGGGGGTGACTACATTAGCGACTCTCGGGTTGGAGAGCAAACCGAGTCAACGGATCCGGACTACCCGATTATCTACGAGATACGTGAATCTGCTTTTATGTTTCACGATCTTGTGGACCTAGGGGCGGGAACGCATAACCTGTGCTGGAAACAAGCTGGTGCCACCACGGGTGTGACGCTGGGAACCTTTACCATTGAAGGTAGGCATCTTATTTGCACGGCCAACTACAACATGTCCAGCTGTAGGATCAGTTGGCCCTCTCCCAAAGTGCATAACTCTCACCGCTACGAAACGTCGCATCTAAGCTGGAGTGAAGGTATCCCGAAACGGAACTGTTTGGCGTGTGTGTCTTGTCCCTCACGCACCTTCGAATTACAGGCCCTCTTCTAGCTCAAGACACTATTCCAGTTATAATTGGCAAGAGGTTCTCAGTTGAAGTCCCTACGAACAGCATCATCCCCGATGAGGAGGCTGCAAACTATCGCATTCGAGCGTACGCCTACAAAGGCAGCGACATATTCAGGAACTTTTCCTGCGGACAGCAGGCAGAAGATGATACTGCTCCCGCCGTATTCGGTTGCTCACCAGCGACTGGACCTCCTACAGCGGTGAAGAACAGTGAGGCCGGCAGCATCCTCATATGGGAAGACGTGTGCGTCATCGTCGATGAATTGTACACGGAAGCTGTGGCAGGTGATAAGTATGGCATTTGCTTTTGCGATGGAAATCTACTGGGCTGCGACACTGCAGATCGATATCAGCTCCTCGTGCAAGCCTGGGAGTTGTCAGGTGAGAGCTAGGGAAGACAGCCTATCGGAGATAACCCAGACACCCTTGGAAACGGGGCTTCATGCTGCCGGATCCAGTGTGAGGAACTGCAACTGAACAGACCATTTCTGTTGTGAGGCGCTCTGCTCCTCTCAGGACCAAGGCCGCTGGAGCAGGATGTTCTGCCCCGTTACAGAGCGGGAGTTCGATTCTCTCTGAGTATTGAAGGGGTTAAATTAATAGATGATCCAGCCATTATGCTATCGCCAGCTTTTGATCCTCTCACCAGCACCCGGTTCACTTGTCAGAGCGATGGTAAGCCTGAGATGCGCAAGTTCGTCGGCACTGTAGCTGCTGACCGCGCGCTTGCTACGTTCACCGACGTCTATGTCCCCTTCACGATATCTCAAGGACTGTTTTGCTGGTGCCCTGGCGGCGACTGCTCAACTGCGAATGAATTCACTGTACAGCTCGGCCGCTTTGGCGTGACAGGTAGGTTTCGCAGTTTTTCAGGCTTGTATGCTTGACTGTTTAGTTTAAAGCTCTGTACGGAGCCCTCACCTGCACCTCCCATTCTACATCGAGTCTACATATGCCGAGATAGCTGCCTGTATCTCATGTTCTTCCACTATTTTATCCTGGCTGCATACTGCCTCAGGCCCCACGTTCATTGCACCACGCATAGTGGTGGGTAGTTACTTCACCGTTCAGCTAATAGGGCCGAGTCTCGAAACAAACGACGCCATTAGTATCCGCGGTCCGACTGACATTTGTGGGGACCCTGGAACAGAGAATATGGATCCAGGAATTGTAATGGAGGAGACAAACAGGACGTTGAACAGTTTGGGAACAGTCGAGTCATTTTCTGTTTCAGAGAATAGCGTTTCAGGTGAGCCGGAAATGACGTGGACTTCATGGGGAATACGCATCAAGGCAACAGTCCAAGGATACATGAAAATATGCTACTGCCCGTCAACAGAGCAGGAATGCGAGTCTTCTGGAGGCAAGTTAGTGCTTGCCGGCTTACTGGAGACACGTGGGCCATCCAAAGGAGACATCGAGCTTGTTGGTAAGGCACAGTATTTGTTTTCACAAGGACCACCTGAGTACCACCATGAGCCTCGAATTTCGTGGACGTCTGTTAATCCACAGCTTCCATGTAGTGCTCGTGCTGTTTCCCACGCAGCTTCTGACGAATATGGAGAATACCTTATAGTCCGTGGTACCAACTTGTCAACTCGGAACCTTTTGAGGTACTTCCAATATACACCTCTTGAAGGCACGACAACTGCTGAACAGGAGGCTGACATCTGCTCAAATTGTGAGTATTTTGTGAGGGTTCTTCCGCACACAGCTTCCCACCACACTGTCGAAAACTCTGTGGGTGTAGCTGGCTAGGTTAGACAGCGAACTGCGTTCATGCTTTTGAAGTGAAGTGTGCGCTGTACGGCTTGTCCGTTTCTGCAGCGCTGAACTTGAGCGGAGGAGTTACCACGTTCCCTGATGCTATAAATGCAGCCGGCACCGAGCAATACTTCTCAGTGACAGTTTCTGTGGGTAAGCAGTATGCAGCGTGCTGGTCTTTTGGGGATGCCGTCGAATCGAGAGCGACATCCATGTCGCGGTCGAGAGTCGCCCCAAGTTTCATATCGGCTGATGACCTGGTCAGCGTTAGAAGAAGCCTAATAGAGAACAGCTCGACTTCTTCTGAGGGAGCTGTTTCGGATCAGTTTACAATCACGCCATCAGATGACCAGTCATCCCTTACTCCGGAAGCTAGGAAGTGGTTTTTCGTGTCGCTGTTTTCCCAAACAGGTCCGCCTTCCTAGCTGATACTGCAGTCCACACTTTGTGGGGGAGTAAATAGTGCTCTCAGCATCTTATGCGTTTCGTGAAGCGCTTTTTTCCTGGTGACTGGATCATATGTCCTTATTGATGTAGTCCTGTCCATTGGCTCAGGATTCCAGCAAGGTGTTCATAACGTAGTTCTGGGACACGAAGACACTGTGGTCATCAGTGGAGTTATAAACGCAACTGATACCTACGAGGTGGCACTTGGACTTAATAGGGATATGAGCGAATGCTCCCAAATATTTAATTCTAGAAAGTTTCGAAGTGACATAGGCGTCACTACAGTTTCTGTCTCCGAAAGCCGAATGGTTCTTCAGTAAGTCCCAGCTTGCGTCTCGCTTCTGAATGAGTAGGCACTGAACGCTTTCTGGGGAGATTCAGTAGTTTTCATTGTACCAGTGGGAGACTTTACAGAATGTTTTCTTCCATTTTTGCCCAGTTGTGTGTTTTAAGTTGAACCAGACGAACTTGCTCTGGAAAGGGCGCGTTGGTCGTTTGGCCACAGCAACTTAATTTTTGCACTGCTTCTACTTTTCCAGCCTAGCTCTTTCAGCATTTGGTGAGATTTTTCATTGCTATTGGTGCCCGGGAGGAGCAGTTGTCGGCGGTGCATCTTTATGCTTGCCCATGCTTCTATGCGTTTGATGATTCTTTGCAGAATGGATGCCGCAAAGGAGCAGGGCTGGCACAAAATCTGTGTTAGGAATAAAACTGCTTCTTTGGTCTTTGATGCCGGGACGGTAGAAGTGACCACATACTTTCAGAAATCAGGGATGGATATGTATGATACTCAGAGAACATTCGTACTTCCGTGCCTTACAGGGACAAAAAATTCATTCAAGGAGCAAGTGCGGGAATTCCCCCAAGTTTGGTTGCCAGACGGTACAGGCTTGTGGACCGCTAGGGTGGTCGTTGGAGTGCCGCGAACTGAGAAGGAATACTCAAGGCTTCAGGTCAACTCGTCACCGAAGGAGAACTTCATTGAATTTCCGGTAAGAGCAAAGTCACATTTGTTGCCGGTGTTTACAATGTGAGCTGAAACAGCGTGGGCCAAAGACCACTTGGGCAATTTGTTTTGCTTCTTTGGCCTTAGGCCGGGGGTTTTTGCTATTGTGTACTTCCGGCTTGGTGGTTCAGCAACTACGGAACGTTCTTGCATGCGACACGACAAAGGACCAGGTGGTCCTTGTTTTAGGAGCTACCCACATGTTGATGCTGTACCCAGACAGTGAACGGCCTCCTGACGTAATCAATCACGGCGTGCCGTACCCGGCTGATTTGGCTCATGCTGGTAACCAAGTCTTCATAACCAGCTTTGATAGCCACTTGATCACCTCCTTTAGCATAGCGAACCCATCCAAAATCATCTTCTACGAACCGACGAATCCGACACTGCTATCTGCAGGGGGCATACAGGTTAGGATTCCCTTCAGACCTGTCCAGACTCCCTGTACATATGTATTTCCGTAAGTGACTTTCTCACAACGCCATCAAGACGTAGTGTAATTCACCTGTTGCGTTTATTTCCCTTGTCTCCTCTCCCAGGCAATCGCAAACATCGATGGCAGTGAAACGTCTATTTTCGTCGCGGACACAGTCGGGGGTATCATTGGCCGGCTGAAGATTTTGCCAGATGACCTGGACAAAACACAACACGGTGGGAAGATAACTAGGGAGTGGACTGCAGTCTTCGGGAAGCAGAAGTCGGATTTCCGCAATACAGAGGGTGTGAATCGTCCGTTTTGTCTCGCTGAGTTTGTAACTCCGTATTCGACACAAGAGAACATGAATTCGTTGCTCGTTGTCGGAGAGGTGAGCTAGCAACGACTCTTTCCCTTGGGGGGCCCGTCTCAAGTGACCACGAAATGAAGGACTGTGCGAGTTCGGTGGTATCGTATAATGTTTGCGCAGCTTATCTCCGATCGCATCACGTTCCTAAGCATAGACAACATGGGCATTTCCTTCTACAGACAGATCACTTTGGGAGTGACGAAATTTATAACAGGTCTTCGCATCATAGATGAAGTCTTGCTTCTGACGTCCAAACAGTGGTCTGTAGAACAAGAACTTGGGCGAGCTGAAGTTGCATATATAACGCTGAGCCAGCTGATAGACAACGTGTACTTTACGTACCCGGACTTCAGCAAGAAGCTTCAGGCTGGTCTTCGATATCGTTTCTTGCCCTTAGTGACAGGTGCGCCTAGTTATTCCGTCGGTGTCGTACGTTCCATGCGCAATTGCAGTTCGATAAAAGGCGAATAGAAAATAATAAGAAGTATCACCTGCGATTTCAGTCAATCTCATAAGCACTGCCGGCTCTAGGCGTCTTTGCGTTCTTGACCTTAGGCCAGGAGATCCAGTTCTTTAAAGAGGATGCAGAAGCGGGGGACCCCCTACAATCCATTGGTTTTACCCTTGACTCGAAAACAGGCGAAATCCAGGGGACGCTTACGGCAACTGTTACCTCAAGGGTGGTGATTGTGGGTGGTGACTTGCTGGGGTCTTACACGTGGTCATTTGAGTTCGAAGCAGGGTGCCAATCTGGCGAGTATTTTAATGAGGCGTCAAACAAGTGCGAACCGTGCCCCCTAGGGACGTTCCGTGACGAAGAAACTGAACTTCAGCGTTGCCAGGACCACAAAGCCTACAGCACGACTCTACAGACGGGATCAACGAATTTGTCTCAGTGCACCTGTATCGAAGGCTACGAAATTGGGCTTCTAGGGTATTGCCAGCCCTGTCCGGCAGGTGCGTGAAGACTTATCATCTCTCACCAAAAAAGCCCGTATGGCACGGGCTCGATGTTCTTAGCGGTCCTTTTACCTATTTTTAAATGCGGGAGACATGGTATGCGTCTCTGTCCTTGCATAGGAACATACAAAGCCATAGCAGCAGACGCAAAATGCACGGGGCGATGTCCTCAGCATATGTACAGTGGGAAAACGGGCGCGGCAAGTTTGGAAGACCTTAACTGCCAGTGGTGAGAAGACTCTTCGTTCACCTTGCACCGCAAAGCGAGGTCACTTATATCTGTCACATTGTTCTATTCGGCTTGGTGCGTCTGTTCTGCAGCGAACCCGGATTTTATCTGTCAGAAAATGGGTGTGAAAGCTGTCAGGTCGGGACTTACTGTGAAGGAGATTTGTCTCCACCTGTCCAGTGTCCGGCCTTTGAAACTACATCTTCTTCCGCGAGCTCTAAGTTTAGCGACTGCGTTTGCATAGCTGGGTACTACCGAGAAGGAGATGAGTGCGTTCCTTGTGACGTTTTGACGTACAAACCACTCATTGGCGACCAAGGATGCACACAGTGCCCGCAACCGGCTCTTAGTGTTGTGGCAAGCAGTGAGCTCCTTGCAACGTCTGCTCCTGGCACATCCATGTTTTCAAGCAGACGAGGTTCCACTCAACAGTCAGAATGCGAAGTTTGCGCCAGCGGATATTATTTCGATGCGGTGTCTATGGGCGGCTGCGTACCGTGCAAGGAAGACTTCTATTGTCCAGGGTTTCAGCTGGGCATGATTGCTTGTAAAGGTCTTTCTATTACAGCGGGAGTGGGAGCCGAGAGTGTACTCCAGTGCAAGTATGTCGCAAAAATTAACACTCGACGACGGCGGTCGGCGCAGCTGCTTGTGTGACAGCGTAGCAGGCATTGGCTTAGCGACTTCGGCCAACGTTTCTTCCCTTTTCTCGTGTTCTTAGTTATGAGTTGCTTTTGTTCGGATGCTCTTTGTGCCAACCAGGTGCCCCAAGGGATACGGTAAAGTTGCCAGCAGAAATCCTCTGGATCTGAGTCTAGCGTGCATGCCATGCCCTGTTAACTACTTCCAGCACATGGACGGCTCAGAGGCCGAATGCATGCCTTGCCCGTCGAATTCCATGACGAAATCTACGAAGTCTTCGAGCATAACGAGTTGCGTTGCTCTTCCGGGATACGGTGCCCTAGAGAACTTGCAAGCTCTATCTCACCGTGTGGAGAGGAGCGACACGGATGACTCTAGCACGAATACGTTTTTGGAGGCAATTGAGCTTGCCAAGGACGTCGAAAAAGCTTATGAATCGCTTTACGCAGAAGACCTTCTTGCTATCAACGTGTTTTGTAAGGAGGATATCAGCTCAGTTCAAGAATATGATATGGCGGAGTTCGTCACCATGCAATATGCTCTATCTTTTGCAGAATGCCAAGCTGCTTGCTTAAAGAATGTCTACTGTACCAGTTTTTCGTTTTCCAAGGAAGACAGATTTCCAACTCACACCAACACTGTTATGAACTACACGGGCATTTACTTCTACTCCTTCTGGCCTTGTCATCTGTACATGTTCGGGTCAGCCGCAGCAGCAGACGTCGAGAATTGGAAAGACACGTGGGAGGGAACTGATGTAAGTCAAAATTTGATTAGTTTGTGGAACGCCTGCTGCTTACCATTCTCCTTAATACCCACATCATTGATAGGTATATGGGAAATCAGTCGATCTGCACCCGTTCTTGTAGTGGCGCGAGCATTCTGACCCCTCTGCCCCGTGCCAAAGAAACACTTTCCTTTGAAGAGCATGCGACTGCTTGCGTTATTGTATGCATGTGCACACGTAGGTGGAGCCAGGCAAGGGAGTAGCGTGTGTCGTGGGCCGGGTCAAGGACGAGCTTACTTGGCAAAGGTTTCGTTACGTGGAGTGCCCACAGAATGCATATTGCCCAGGAGACAAGGACGCCAGCATCTTTGAATGCCAGGATTACGCCGTGACTCTCAGCACGGGGGCATATTCTCGGGAGCATTGTCTATGTGTCCCCGGTCGGGAGCCCGTGGGGCACATGTGCGAACAGTGCAAGCTGGGATTCTACAAGAATGCCACCGAAAATATTGCATGTACGGAGTGCCCACAGTTTTTCACGACCAGCATCACCGCGAGCACAAGTGCGTACGAGTGCACCTGCCAAGCGGGCATGTACATGGCGCCTCCAGGCACTACAGAGGAAACAGAACAGACGGACAAGATTGACCAGCCAGAACAAATGGGACCCACAGAGCAGACGGATGGAGCTTTAGAGCCCCCTTCACCAGCTGCATTAGAACCGGCAGCTCTTCAGACAATTGTCCATGCCAGGTCGATTCGGGAGCTAGGCAGGCATGGAGAAATGGAGCCAGTGTCACCCGGTGGGACGTCGATGTTACAACTAGGGCAATTGCCATGGCTGGAAGAAGAAACTCGAGAACAGCTGGAAAAGGTAGTAGAATTGGGTGTATGCGTGCCCTGCCACACGGGAATGTTTTGTCCGGGCCACTGGAAAGATCCGCCTACAAATTCTACTCACATGCCTCCACAGCAGTGTATTGAGGGATCCAGCGTCCCGCAGTCTACCGTTAATGCAGATTCTGTTGAAAAGTGTCTGTGCCTTGCGGGGTATGCCTATGGACGATCATCGGACGCTGCTGTAACGTCAGATTCATACTTTACTTGTAGCAAGTGCCCTCCTGGCACATACAAGGAATTACAAGAAAACTCTCCTTGCTCTGGCCGTTGTATGAAGGATGCTGAAACGTATCCTGGGGCAATGAGCAAGAGCCAGTGTTTTTGTCAGGTGGGGCGCTATGCCGTCGAGACGGATGACTCTGAAGGCATGTTCAGTTGTGTGGAATGTATTACCGGAGGCGTTTGCGTCGGTGGCTTCAAGCAAAGCGTTATTAAGGCGATTGAGGAAAACCCCAGCTATACGAACATCACCATCGCGGACCACACCACTCCATACCCGCAGAAGGGATGGTTTGCAACTTTCAAGACTAACGCTGATGAACCTTGGAGGCCTAATTGGTTGGCGTTTACAGCGGATTCTTCAAATCAGACTTCTGGTGTTTTCGACTTGACCACTGCTGCTGATGAGAACGGTGGCACTGCCTTTCTCCAAAACACACAGTATGATAGGGTCCCCGACATTCACCCCTGTCCTGTAGACTATAGATGCCATGGCGGCCCGTCAAATGCTTGCGCCGAAGGAGGGTCCGGATACCTTTGTAGCACATGCAAAAGGGGCTACGACATCTCTACCCACGGAGGGGTATGCACCAAATGCCAGCCTATTTGGTTTGAAATCGCCTACCTCATCACGTCGAGGCTTGTTCTCTGCGTCATCGCGTGGCTCATAGCTGCAATCAGCTGCCTTGCCGTACGAAATCCTGCCTGCATCCATCCCATTTTAATCCGGATCTGGTTGTCTAACTTGTTCGTATTTTTTCTTTTCGGCTTCTTCCCTGAAAATAGTGTCTCTGCGTTGGTAGATTGGGCCCCGATGTACAGGGCTATGTTTACATATCCCATCTTTATATTCAACAAATACCCCAAGGTGTTCTGCATTCTCGATGAGTTAGGTTTCCCGTTGGATTTCAAGAAGTCTTGGTATCTCCAGAGATTTGCTCAAATGCTCGTGCCAGTTCTGGATGTGTGCATTACTACGGTGATATGCGGCATTGCGCTGATCCTTTACAAGCTATACAGGCGCTCCAAGATCCAGAGAGTTTCGCTAGTGCTAAGCCATGCTCAGGAAGTCCATGCAAGCGACATTTGGGCGATGCGTACTGTGGAAAAGATAGAAGACATGCGATGCCTTGGGTTGTTCCACTATATCTCTCCTGCTGGGGCGACGCGTTCTCAGAAGATCCTCCGCTTCTTTGGTGACCTAGTTCCAGCCTTCATGGTCATCTGGTTTTGGAATTTGCCATTCCTTGTTATTGAGTGCACTCAGCTCCTGGGGTGTGTTTCAATTGCGTACAAGGATGAACCAGCCATGTACTTCTTGACAGCCCTACCCGAACAAGAATGCTCTCTCAGCGAGCCGTGGTTTGTGGCTGGTGCCATCCTTGGAAGTATCGGCATTTTGGTCTGGGGAATTGGCAGCGTCATCGTCTTCTGCGTATGGATGCTTTACACGGACAACGCTGATAAGTTGGAGGCAAGGTTCCGTTATGGATTTCTTTCCAATGGCTATGAATTTCAGTATCGAGCATGGGAAATGTTCCTAATGGCGCGCAAACTGGCATGCGCCTGTCTCCTAACATTGCAACTCCATATGAGTGCATCGGGAACTCAGGAGGTTTTCAGGAATTCTGTTAACCTCCTGATTGTCACAATGTGCTTAATCATCCAGCTGCTGATTGAGCCTTACGACCGGCGAAGCCACAACCTGACAAACCGGGTGGAGTTTATGGGCCTACTAACCAACGTCATCAATTGTATCATTATTCAGGGAAGTTTCTCCTTCCCAATTTTCAGTTGGCTAGGGCCGCTACCGATTATTTTGTGTGGGTTGTTTCATTTGTACGTCTTATGGAATCTGTTCGTGGAGGCTGGGAGAATGGTGCTCATGCGCCCACATCTGGCAAGGCTGCCGTCGCCTTGGAGGTACTTCAACCTGGTGACTCGCTCACTCGCCAGATTGTATACTCGAGGACATGCCAAGGTCTACTACAACTACATCACCAGTGAGATGGTGCTTGAGGCGGCAGCCAAGTCGCGGGTCTTCCACATTCGCAGGATGATTCAGAGGAAGAAGAAGCTTACGGACTACAGAAAGATCAATTACGAAAACAGAACGTATTTCGTCTCGGCCCTCACTGATTCTCTCTCAAGGTTAGTCATTTCTTGGTGTCAGTTTACTATTCCTGGCGACTGGTTGGACTTTACCATTCGCTATGCGTTCTGCTACTGCTTCTGGATGAGGCATCGAGCTGCCAGCAATCGAGAACCTCTTGACTTGGAAGAGTTCGATGCAATGCGGCCTTCCCTGTTTAACGAGTGCTACGTTGAGACGGAGGATGGAGACGACGACGGTGCTCTAGACCCAGAGACTCAATGCAACGAAGTAGAAGAGGAATTTTTAGACATGCTCGTTGACGACGACGTGTACGATGATAGTCCAATCACTCTCATGGAGTTATACGTAGCAGTGCAGTCCATGCGTTACATTCCAAAAGGGCAGCTTCGCCGACTTCACGTGTGGTACCGCGAGAGGATGGCTGCCGCTAGCAGCTCGGACATGCCCGCACTGCGCAAAGAGAATGAAGAGCTTGAGGCAGAGCTGCAGCAGTTGAGTGAGGTGCTGCGCAACCGTTTTGGCTCGCCAGGAGGAGATACAGTGTCTTTTAACATTCTGGACTTCTTCTTTGCCGTCGAAATATTACACGAAGCTGAGGCAGAGAACTCCCGCATCAGGAGGGATATCGACAAGGAAATCGCCAGCATCATGAATGCCCGTGCAGCCCGTTCGGTGGCAGAACGAGTTCAGATGGAACTAGAAAAGACGGATGGAGAAGAGCTAGAGGACATCCTGAGATCGTTCGATGAGGCCGCGGAGAGGACAACAGAGGCGAAGGCCCGTCTAGAATACCTAGAAGAGGCCGTCGGGGACAGCAAGCGGAAAGTGAAATCGCGCAGGAAGGCGTCTAAGGAGCTTTCGAAAAAGCGTGTGGTTGTGGGATCCAGACGCTTGAGCATAGCGGAGGAACGGAGGCGCATCCTTCGCCCAACCATCTCGAATCTTGATGCTGGTGGCACCCGTAAGTCGTTATCTCCAATCGTGATTGAGAAATTTTCTGGTGGCCGTACCATTTCGCCTGTTGGCTCGGGAGATGGATCTGGGCGTCGGCGCATCAGTGTCAGTGATGCTGACAATGGAAAATCAAGACGTATCTCTCTCTCCCCCTTACCTGGCAGTGCATCTGAAGGAAGGAGGCTAGGGGTGCGCACGTTACAATCCCACAGCATCAGTTCAGATAGCGTTGACAGCTCAGTAAGTGGCCGGAGGACCGTCAGAAGCGCTTCCCGTTCGCTGTCGTCCGACCACCTCTCTTCGGGTGAGGATGAGAATAGAGCACCAAAGAGAACTGCCAGAATGGCTTCTCCTCCTGAACCAGTCGTACCGGCTGAGGGCCAGCCAAGTTTTGGACAGCAAGAGTCTCGGCGCAGGGTAATGCGTGTCGGGAGTTCCGCATCATCAGAATCAACCCAAGCTGGGACAAACGCTGGGGTAACCGAGGCGGCGCCAAAGAGAGCCATTGGAACAACACGCTCACAAAGCTCCGAGCCCCTTGAAGGAACGCACCCATCTGCTGAATCTGAGTCCCCTGCACCCACTGCAAAGCGGTCCATTGGGCTGTTTAAACGGCCACCTGGACCTAAAGAAGACAAACCGTAAACTGTGGAGCATATAAAAATGTTCAACGGGTAAATCATTAAGCACTGCTCCTGCAGATTGAGTCAAGGGTTCAAGGGATACCTCATCGATTGGCAAACAGCACGGCTGGGCTTACAGCTTGGTCAACTGAAGCTTAACGTCTCAAGCAACTGTTGTAATTTTTGTGCAAACTTGTGTCGTTTGGGGAGAAGTGGGCAAGGGACCACTTGAATGTGAAACCCCGCAATAGCCACTGATAAGTGTTTGTTACTGTTTCCCTCTGTAGCGGTTGCACCCCTGGTCAGGCTTGCCGTTGCTCATCGCTAGTGCAGAGTCAGTAAAAAGTCGCATTTGCTTCGTTCATCCAACCTGTACCGAAGGAAACTAGATTTGTTCACTAATGGGTGAAGAGGACTCTTCTTCTCATTTGACCTGCATCTGCCGATGTAGCTCTCTAATCAGGTGCGAAAGTGCAACCCTCGTCATTCCCCTATTACTTTCCAAAGACTCGACTACGCGGAGGCACTGTCTTCTGACAACGACAGTAATACGCCAAATCTCCATACCCAATATACTTTGCGACAAGGGCATGTAGAGTACGACAAAAGATGTGGCTAAGATTTCTCCCTAGCAAAGGACACCTCTTATTTTCATTCTTCGTAAACGACTGCGACTGGTCTGCAGACTTTAGAAACGAATCGAATATTATTACACAACCGAGACTGTGCTGTAGGCGTTGAAAGAACGAATTCGTCTTTAATCTACGTGAGCTGTTGGTTTTCTCTATCACTTTGAAAGAGCTCGGTCCATGGGTTCCTGTTCTCCGCTATGCGGCGTCCCCCCCCGCCCACAACTTGCACACCAGGGGGGGGGGAGGGAGTGGGAATGGAGCGTAGGGGGTGCCGATTTGTGCCGGGATGCAGTACCCCCAGAAAGAAATACCCATTGTAGGACAAACGCAATATTTGCGCATGTGCTCAGTATATTTTAGCTGTGACTCGCTCCAAATACTGAGGCTGCGTCCATCTTCGTGCGTTAGCAACTCACTGAATTTAGTGCTGCAATAACTCCGCCAGCGTGTGGGGCTGTGCAATATCCTCAAGTCCCAGTGTAGCACTATTTCGTCACTCCTCAATTATCCCCCAAGTTTTCGGTATTTCCCGAGCACGGACGCCCTTCCCCCATTGATGACACGCACGAAGCCACTGACTATTCCAATAACAGCTCATTCACTAAGCAGTTCTATTGGCCCTTACGAACCGCAAAATTCCGCACACTGTACTCGAGATGGACTATTCAGCAAACGTGCTGCAAACAGGGGCTTCGCTCGAAGCACGGCAAACGCGAGCTTGCCGTGCAGCACAAGAACCACATTGGAGCTGTGTTTGACCTGTAGGCAACTAAAGGTAGGTAAAGGCGAGGAAATATCGCCGCATATCAAAATTTGGATAACCGGAGGTGGCCTTTAAAGATCGGAGAGGTTGAGACGCGCCGTCACTAGCCGTTGGCGTCTATCCCAATGTCTGAATAAGAACCGTGGTCAAAACTTTTCATTTGGGTCAAACTAATGCAAAAGCTCACTTTTTTCTTATTTTCTTGCGTATGGGTCCTTTTCTTCCTTGCGGCCGTGGGGCCCCCCCCACACAGTAAAGGCCCATTCATTCTCCCTCTCAAGCCTGCATGCACAATTGGTGGCGCTGCATCAACTACCAAATGCTGTTCAGCAGGGAAAAGTTTACAAGTAGAAGCGTTTTGGCTTGATTGCACGCATCTCCCTCCTGAGGTGGTGGGGGAACGTTGGTTTCGAGCTGACGTTATTTCGTTCCAATGCAAGCCGCCGGATGATTATCCAGCAGAGGTGCCCTTAGGCCTTCAGCCTCTTTGGATGCCATGTTTAATAGGTCTGTATATTTGACAGACTTGGGGGGATTTTGCCGGGCTTGAGTGTTTTCCTCCTCTGGTGTTTTGCGGTTCGGCGGCCCATGAGGCAGCCACACTTTTCGATATTTTTCCGTCGTTAAGGAGGTCGTCCCCTCTTGTCGAGTACCGTTGCATCTCTGGGATGCTGGCATAGCTAGTTGCCTGGAGAGAATACACATTACGAACGGCCCGTGAGACGTTTACTCGCAAATCCAACACGTTTCGAGACGGCGGTTGTTGAAATGAGGACACTTAACAAAGCCACATAAAAAGGCCTGCTGTCGTCCAGGCTCTGAGGCGAGAGAAAAGGCAGATGCTGGTGGCGCCGCTAGGGGCGTGCAGCAGGCTCCGGGGGGGGCCTCGGCAGCAATGCTGGCTCACGAGGGAGGGCTTGCTGCCCCCGAAGAGAAATCCAACACCCATTCAAGTGATCATCAGAGCTCGGATAAAGAGGGAGAAGGGCAACAGCAAACCCCACAACAACACAAGCTGACCACCCATTCAAGTGATCATCAGAGCTCGGACAAAGAGGGGGATGGGCATCAACCGACCCAGGGGCAGCCGAAGCCCAACTCCCAGTCAAGTGATCATCACGGGTTGGACAAAGAGGGGGATGGGCACCAGCAGAACGAACAGCAGGAGAATCCCCAGGCAGAGCAGAAGGACTCACCCTGTCTCCCAGCATACTGTGAGGTGTCAGATCAAGGTACCCGCGGCCCTGAGGCTCGGCGACGACGGCGTTTAGGGTCGTCTTCTCCCGGCCCTGAGGTTCATGCCCCTGAATCAACGGCGAAGCGAAAGCGTACCCCAAGCCGTCGGGTGGTGGAGGCAGCTGAATCCGCCCTGCTTCTGGAGGAGGTTATGGCTAGCGAGGGCCTGGCAGCGCGCGCTGGCCCAAACAATCCTCCCCATTTCACCGCTGATTGCCCTCATGCATCTTCAGATGTTGCCCCATTTTCTTACGGGGAGACATACAGAGATTCTGGTGGCTGCTTTGATGATATCGTGGCGAGCGGGGCCGCCTTGAGTGGGGCCCTGCGTGAGCAGCAACAGCAGACAGTTTCATCAGAAATGTACAAAGCTCTAGGCCTAGAGGGAGCTGCAAAGGGTTGGGAACCACAGACAGGGAACCGGAAGACTGTCGACCGCAGAGGAGCGCAGCGGCTAATGACAGATTTAGCTGAAGAGGTTCCTGTCTGCCGACGCCCCCGTAAGGAATACAGCTGCACACTGTAGGACTGAAATATAACAGAGCCCTTCTTCTTGGGGGGTCGTATTTTGCAGACGAGTCCAAAAGCACAATGTTTGCGTATCCAACCATTTCTCTCTGTTATCATCGAATGTTTCTTGTGTCGAAGGATGCCCGTTTCATTGGTGCACATGATGGGTTTGATTATTGCTGCGTCTCCATATGGAGATGGGTGCCAGTAGCACTGGGTAGATATTCGTGCACCATATGTGTACATATGTGGGCGGAAGAGCTGCCGTCTAGCTCTCGTTCGTTTCTGTCGTTTGTTCTATTGATGCGGGACTCAGTATTTGGGGCAGTGGAGCCCAGAGACCTTCTGGGGTTTGGCGTTCCTCTTAGAGAGGTCCTGCGCACTCAAGAGCAACAACGCAAGAAGCAGGAGAAACAGCAGCCGCACCGGGAAAGAGGAACATTAGGGGAGGCGAATGCGGAGCATGAAAGGCAGCCATGTGGTCAGGTACCAGAGCAACAGCAGCAGCAAGAAGGCGAGGCTCCGTCGTTTGTAGTTGATGTGGCGGTGGTGGGTGCCGGGGTTGCAGGGCTGGCAGCTGCTGCTTACCTCCGGAGGTGCGGAGCGTCTGTAGTTGTATTTGAGGGACGCCATCGGGTAGGGGGACGCACTTTCTCTTCTGTGATGCCGGAAAGAGTACTACCCGACGGCCGCAAAGTCGAACGTAAGTGCTCTTCCTGCCTGCCTTCGGGCTGCGGCCTCTCATATTTTTGGGATTTGCTGGGTTTGAAGGGCTGAAACGCAGCCCATCGCCTTGGCGGTCAGCTGAACTGCATTCTTATGGTGGTGTAGGTCGTTCTTTTTGGTGTGTTCTTGCCTTCCCACACTGCTCCTGATTCACGTTTTTTGCATCTCTCCCTGTGCAGGTTCTAGTCGTATCTGCTTTCTCCCCTCCTAGCAGGCAAAACCCCGCATAACCCTTGTATTTGGTCGCTTGTAGGTATGGCTCCGCTTTCTGTTCCTACGCAGGTATTGTGATTGATCTCGGCGCCTCTTACATGCACTGTGTAACAGCACACCCGAAGGAGAGCGGGGGTGCGCCCGATTGCCGTTGGCGCAGGGAACCATCTCGATCTGTCAGTGGCATTGCGGCTGTGCTGCAGCCGTTAGTGGCAGATGTGGCTGGGAAGCAGAACTGGGAGTCGACGCTGTTTGCAAGGTGGGTTAGTGATGGGCTTTCCTCCTTTGTTTAGGACTACGTCAGAACCGCTGCTTTTTCTCTCTCCTTGTAGCTCATCTGCTGCGTTATGGGAAGGACATCTAATGCGTTGTTTGGTGGATGCAACATTCGTGAGGGAAACATGAGGCGTTTCGGGGCGTAGACGGCATAGCTTCATTTTCTAGGAGGGCATCAGGCTTAGCATGAAGTTGTACGTCACAAGGCCTGAACTCCCATATTGTGTGCGTTGTGGGGTGCTGTTGTAGTTGGAGAGACGAGGCTTCGGGGAAAGAAATACCTCTCCTTTCTGTATTAAAGGTGCATCAACTCCTTGATAGGCTACGCGAAAGAACGGCTGCAAAGCTTTTGCACTTGCCACCGCCCCTCACAGAAACAGGGGGACCAGGGCCCCCCGCTGCATCCCTGCCCAATACCATTCCCGCCGCAGAGTTTCTCTCCCCTCCCCTGGATCAGATACTACTTGCTGCCCTAGAGAGAAGACGATCTGCCAGTAAGCGCAGCAATGAGAGTGCGGGGGCCGCAGCATCGGAGGCCGTCAAAGACCCGACCCACGGGCGTCATTCAAGCGTTTCTGCCGATCAGGAGGGAATCCAGAAGCAGGAAGAGACCGACATCCCCGTTGGTGGTTTGGATGGCGAAGAGACGAAGGACCGCAGCAACCAGACAGCTAATTGTGCTGCTTTGCAAACGGGCGACAGCGAGTGCGACGTGGGAGAAGAGGACAGCGCCCATGAGCAACACGACACAACCGATCCATGCTGTCAGTGGGCCACATGCTCAAAAGAGAGTGGCCTTCGCAGACAGAACAGAAACATATCGAACTCCCGGTTTTCGCCATACTATCCCTTGGGAGAGGCGTTCGTCCGCAGAGCCATCAGGGCCTATGGAGGATGTCCTTTGTGCTGCACAGGGGCTTGTGGTGGAGCCTTGCGGCGGGCTGACCAGAGGCATGGAGTTTTTGGAGACTCAGCACAGGGGAATAGTGACAGTTGCAAAACTGAGGGTTTGTGGGGTTCGCCTGCCCCTCTTGTTCAGCCGGGAGGTTGCGCAAAGTCCTGGGGAACACCCGTTGGTGATGTTGGAACTACCGACGGAGAGCTGACGCACTCTGGAGGGGCCTTGCAAACTGACTCGGCGGGGGAGGCGGGAGATTCAGCCCTTTGCGGCTTGAGCCGCAGCCAATCGCATACAGGGGATCTCACCACGGGTGCAAACGATGCAAGTAAGATGGACTCTCCTCTGCAGCAACAGCTATCCAGGAAGGATTTGGCGAAGAAGCAGTCTGGTGTTTGCACCAGAACCCGAGGCAACACCTCCCATACCAGCAGCACAAGCAGTGGACAGCAACTCTTTAAGGGCAACCGCCCGAAGAAGAGCAACGCAACGGCAGGGGCGCAGGCGCATACTCGGCTTGTCCCTCCTTTGTCTCTGCATGACAACAGAGGCTTCCGTCGGTCTGCGTGGGATGCCCTTCAGACTTCTTTGTGCGAAATATTGGCGGAGGCTGAGGCAGATGATGGGGTGCAGGCCGGCGGCGCAGGCAGCAGAGAAGGCATTAATAAGGATTGCCGCGCTATCAGGCCCCGTAAGCCTCCTCCTCTTACTCCTGCAGAGGCTCGCATGCTGCTGGTTGTTTTGCAGTCTAAATTGGGGTACGTGGGTGACCTTAGAGAGCTACCTTTGTCTGCAGTGAAAAATTATCCTTACGAAGTTGCTGGGGTAGAAGCAGCAGTTCGAGAGGAGCTGCTTACCCCACAGTTGGGGCCCCCGCCGGTGCCTCTAGCTGTGCCGCCAGCTCCCAGCATGCAACGACTTCGCATGCAGCAGGCTGCGCTAGAAACATCCCTGCAGCAGGAACAGAATGTGCATGTGTATCCTTTTTCGGCGTCCTCTGCCAATTCTGCTGACAAACTTGTGGTGAATGGCTGGGGGTGGTTACCTTTGTTCTTGTGTCTACAAGTTTCCCCCTTTGTCGTAACGGAAGCCACTGTACAGTCAATAAGTGTGAAGGATCGTCGCCGCCATACTCTAGAGTGCGCAGACCTTACTTCTGCTGGCCCCACGGAAACGTCGCGCTCTTCCCTTGGTGAAAAGGACGGCTCTTCTGGAGACGGCGGTTGGGACACACCGGATGAGGATGAGGCTGGTGGAGGCGGGAGTCTTCTTGCGGATACCCATCCAGTACGCCTTCGGATCGAAGTCAACCGTCGCCTCCGCCATAGTGCCTCGCATGGACTCCCGCAAGCGGAGAAACAAAATGAACCGCCAACACACATTTGGTAGGTGGCTGTTGTTTTCCTATTGCCTTCCATGCGTTCTCAGTTTGTTTTACGTTTAAACAACAGTGCGATGTGCTGCTTCGCAATGCGGGTTCGTGCGTGCTGCACTGCGATTTACCCATCGGCGTTACTACCTCAAGGATAGGAGTCCACGGTTCCCTGGGGGCCTAGCAGAAGTAGCCGTTACCAAAGCAAAGCCATGAGCGTTTCCCCTCATTGAGTTTCTCTTGCAGGGCCCATGCCAAGTATTGCGTAGTGGCTGTCCCATTGGCACAGCTTGCACAAGCACCTTTGCCGTGCACGCGAGTGCCAGCTGGTGAAGAAAAGCTCCCACCAACTCTTGGCCTCATTGACTTTTCGCCTCCCCTGGGGATGGACAGGCGCCGCGCTCTTGCGCGGTACAGGATGGGGTGCCACAATAAGGTGAGCACTGCTACTGCCCTGCGTTGGTGTGCCATGGCCCACTAGCCAACCGCCAGCGGTAGACGCCGCTTCAAGCAGGCAACGACCCCGCAAGCTGACTTAGCGTCTGCGCCGCCATGGTTGCAATAGTCAGATGATCTCTGGGCTAATCTGGGCTAATCTTTTTAAAACAATAGAAAAGAACCACTGAATCGGCTTTTCAGCTGGGGAGTGACTCAGGTCTGTGTCCCTCGTGGCAAATCTTTTTCATGACACCAGATGGGGGTTTGAGGCTGCCTTGACCTCTGCGTGAGTTCAGGTGGTCATCCGGTGGCACCCAGACGACGTTTTCTGGCATGGACAGGGCCTGCAATTGAACTGCCTTGATCAGAAGTTTCAATTCCTGAACCTCCACGCCTATGGGAAACCAGGGTGCCTTCTTGCACACTGCTTCCCCCCATTTTCCATTGGGTATGGGGGTCTTCACACCGACCAAGAGGTGCGCCAGCTCGCTGCAGAGAATGTAGCCCTTCTTTTTTTCGTTTTTTTGCATGCGGAACTCCTCCTTTTTCCATGATTGGCCGCCGTTTACACTGCTGCTTGTAATGTTGGAGGTTGCGACAAAGCCAGGAAGTCCATAGAGGAGCAGCTGCGTATTAGCCGCCAGTATTGTTTCTCTGGCTGCGCAGGTGGTAGCTGAAGTGCTGGCACTACTACAGCAAATGTTTGGCATCTCTGACGCCTCTTTTCCCCGACCAGTTGATTTTGTTGTTTCACGGTGGGACGAAGACTGTTTTTCTCGAGGCTCGTATTCCACCCCGGTGCGTTGCATATTCCATTCCTTACAGTGCATCGTTACCTCATGCATTCAATTCTCACGATGCTTCCTCTACGCATGCGTGTGCAAGTGGCACGGGAAAGAAAGGTACCAGCACCAGGCTGCCAAAAAGACAGGCCACAGGCAAGGCAGATATCTGGGGTGACGGGCTGCTGCGGCCGTCTGTGTTCCGGCCTTTGCAGGGGGTGAACGCGTACGATAACGACCTCGACATTATGAGGGCTCCCCATCCAGCGCATGATCCTCGTGTACTGTTTTGTGGAGAGCATCTTAGCAAGGCCTATTTTCAGTGTGTTGATGGTGCATTTGATACGGGTATGCTGCAAGGAACCAGCAGCTTAATCATAGTTTTTGTTGTCCCTGTTGCTTTGAGGATCAAGAGCATAGGAGGTCTATGGGGCAGACTTGTTAAGAACTTGCACTAGATGGGGGTTGCCCGCCATATCGATTTCCTGGCAATGTTTCTTTGTTGCCTGTTCACGGATAAATTCAGCCTCTTGCAGCGCTAATTACGTAGTATTTTGAATACAATCCGTGCAATCCAACGGCTTAACACGCCCCTGTTTAGAACGGCGTCGCAGTTGGACGACATTGTTTAAATTGCTTATTATTTCTGTTGGTTTTCATGTGTTTGGGTTGCAGGTCTGCGTGCTGGGGAGGCTGTTGCTCACGAGTGTCTGCAACTCCCGCTTCCCCCCAGAGAAGATGGAAGAAATTTTGCATTGGATTGCTTTTGCCTGCCTCCAGTGTCAGCTCCATCTGTTCCTCAACCCCTTGACAGCGGCGAGGTTAATCAGGCCCAGAGGGCAAATAATGCCAGTGGGGACGAACAACATTTTAATGCACCATCGAGAACCTCTGGGGACGACTCGTGCCAGCAAATATCACAAGATGTGCTGCCGCAGTGCCCGTTCTCGGGATTTCCTATGCCACCACTACCCCGCGTGCTGCGGGGTCATTACTTAACAGATCAGTCAGACTTAGGTCTAACAGACGCAGAGGGGGAAAGCTGGGCAGATGCGGGAAGCGGTCGGCGCAACCCCCAGACCTGTGAGTCCGAGCGGAGGTCCCCACAGGTTGCGGCAGCTGAAGAGTATTTTATTTTTCATTGCCTGTCCTTCATAAGAAGGGGCAGTGAGAGGCTCCTTAAGGGGCTGGCTGAGAAGGGTGAGGACGTCCAGACTAGCGGCTCCCGCGTAGAGCAGCTTCCCGTTGACGATGTTTTCTTCGAGGGAGAGCCGGTTTTTGATGCGAGTACAACACGGTCATCGGGAGATGGGGACAACGAAGCTTCAAAGGGTGCGCCTCCTCCGGTGCCGCCAGTACAGATTTTATCAGGGGCCGCACTCAGCTTCTTACAGCGCCTGCCTACGGCTGCTCAGCGCCTTTTTTACAGGACTTTTCTTGCGGAATTCCCCTTGTCAAGTGGTGCCGCACAGCGGGAACCAAAGGGAAAGCACACCTCGCCAGAGCAGGAGCCGCAGGATAGCAAGCATGAAGGGCCAGACGACCAAGAACAGCTTCAATTTCCTCTTCTATCTGACTTCCTTGACGCCCTCCTCCTCACCACGAGCAGCACTGGCAGTAATGAGCATAGCCAAGATGCTACTCCCAACGAGACGGTACTCTTGTTGTCCCAGACGTTTGCTCGCCGTCTCAAGCGTGGGTATGGCGGCAAGGCCTTAGACATGGAGGCTTTCTTGTTGTTTTTGGCGAAGAAGAACAGCCTGATCCGAGATGTAGTGCTCAGCCCTATACGCGCCCTGGCGCATGCATTCCCGCGAAGCAGTGAAGGAGGAGGACCGCTGAGCAAGACTGAAATCTCGGAGATGTCTTCGGCACCATCAGCATCATTGGAGCGATTCGTAAAGGAATTAATGCTGCCCGCTCTCCCGGCGCATGCACGAAACACAAGGCCTCCTCGAATGGCGGCTGTCTCGGTGGGCGTGTTGCTGATGGAGAGCCTTGAGAGGCTTTGTGCTGCAATCCCACCAGCCAGCAAAGAGCAACTGAAAAAGAGAGCCACCGTCGTAGAAGATTTGGTGCTGAAGAATCTCGCAAACAGCCAGTTTGTTTCAGCCATTGGCAGCAGCGGGATGACTGGCGAAGGGCCACGAAGAGCAGAGGGAGCCGAGCCATCGGATACCTTGCAGCATGAGCAATTATGCTGGCTTTGCCGAGGCGAAGGGGATTTGTTGCTGTGCGATGGTCTGCCACCAGTTGCTACATCTTCAGGCGCAACTGTTGGAAGCGACTCCTCCGACTTGAGCCCCTCAGCAGCTGCTCCAAGGCCGTGTCGCCATGTGTTCCACATTGGGTGTGCATTTCCCCCACCGACCCCAGCAGAACTACAGCCAAATGCCCACTGGAGCTGTCCACTGTGTAAAGCAAAGGCTTTCAGAGAATGCCAGAAAAGTCAGCACTGTGGATCAGACCGGCGCCAACAAGATGGAGAAAACGCGCAGGAGCAGCGTCGTCTGCAAAATGGCAATGGACAACAGGAACCCGCAGAGCAGTCAGCGGGCAGTGCTGGTGTGAACGGCGTTGACGGGCTCACGAAGAATAGAGAATTTGGCGGGGATATGCTGCATTACATCGTGGAGTCGGTGGAGCGCCTAGCAGAGCAAGGAACCGAGGAGAGGACTGCGCGCCAGGCCCAACGACAGCTGGCAGCGTGTGAAGATTTGCAGATGGCTGCACTAAAGCGGCTGTTCGTTGACAAAGCTCGAAGCCTTCTTGCTCGGACTAGGCAACTGTGCAGGCGATTGGAAGACCTGCAAACTATGAGGACGAAGTCTTGGGCGGCAGCGAACCGCAGAAAGCTGCGCATGCGCTCGAGAGCTGCCTGCCGTGAACATCTGAACCAGGAGGCTTCAGAATCTATGGAGCACTCAGATGTGAGAGTACAGAACCTTTCCAAACACAAGCAAGTGCCACCTGCGGCCAGGCGTGCAATTCATTCATGCTCACCCTCAAAAAGCAGAGGGTCTTCGGGGCAGGGAACGCAGGCGAATAGGGACGGGGGCACTGCCGATGCCACCGGGCAGCGTGACAGCCACGCATCAACAACTGGCACCTCTGCAACAGGCAGAGAAGGACAGCCTTCTCAGTCTGGAGGGGACGAGGAGCTCACTCGCCGCACGCGCGCCTCTGCAGTTGCTGAAAAGCCTGCAGGTCATGATGCAGCTACAGGAATCACCGAAGCTGATTCAGATCGCGCGCCGACGGCCATGCCAGCCTCGGAGCAAATGCAAGCTGACCGCGCTGATTCGGGGGAGAAAGACGAAGATGAGCCTTCATCGGGGGAAGAAGCAGATCGTTCTATGGATCCTTTTGCTGTTGCTGCGCAGACACCCAGATTTGCCAAAGCCCTGAGCTTGCTGTCTCACGTCCAAGCAACGGATGACTCCGCCTTGCCCCTGAGCGTCTCAGTGTTGCAGCACTTGCATCATTCTGCACGTGGCTGCTGTTGTAACCGAAAGAGTGAGCTTTCCCGTGAAGAAGCGCGACAGGGCGACGGAGGCTGCTGCAGCGCGGACAGAAAAGGCTTGTGCAGCTGCAAAGCTGAAGCTGCATTAAAGGACGGCCACTGCCTATGTGTACGATCGGCTCGCATGGATGCAGTGGCTGCTCTTAGAGGTCTTCTGGTGTTTGGGAAGCACAAACGTACGGCTGCAGCCCGGCGGAGACGCCGTTTTAGCTGTCTGGCACCTCACGTTAGCTCGACACAAGCAGAAATAGAGGCCCTCTATCAAGGTGAACCGGCGTGGATGAGTCGGCTTGTAAGACCCTCGAGGAGGCGGCGGCCTCAACAACTCCGCACAGCATCTAGAGACGTAGTGGATGCAAAGGCTTCCAGCATGCAGCATTCTCGTCAGCAAGCTTCGCTGCACGCGGCGAGGCTTCAGGCTCATCAGAGCTACAGGCAACCGAATACGAGTCCACGCCAAGAGAATGCTGCCGACGCGCAGCAGCGTATTGCTGAAGCTCTCCATCATAAAGAAGCGGGGGCACCAAGCACCGCAGCAGCATCTGCACTTGAGGAGTCCCAGGGGCCCCTTGGTGCGCAGCTGCCTTCTCCCATTTCGGCGCAGTATTTTGCTCCTCCAGTCTCGTCTGCTGCGTCGCAAGGGAGGCAACCGGCGGCAAGCGCCGCTGCCCTTCGCTCACTCTGGCAACTACTACAGGCCCTACGGGAGCAACAGCAACAGCAGCAGCAGCGGCAGCAGGAATACTGGCAAACCGGAAGAGTCAGTGGCATTCCAACGCCTCAACCGCTTTTGCAGCACCAGTTGCAACAGCAGCTACAGCTGCAACAGCAACTGCAGTTGCAGCAGCAACTGCAACTTCGCCTACAACAGCAACTGCAAGAGCAGCTCCAGCAACAGGTGCAACAGCAGCTGCTGCACCAGGAGCGATCTGCACCAGCGTTGCGATCTTCACAGGGGAGATGGCCGCCACCAGCAGTCAGCGGTGGTGAAGGAAATCCTGGATTAGTGGAGCAGCGTGCGCTACTTCGTACTACCCAACCACAGGCTACATCCGTTCCTCAAGCTGTTGCAACTCCAGGAATAGAACAGCAACTGGAGCGCCAGCTGCAGGAGCTGCTAAGACGGCAGCGATTCCAGGCTTCTTTAAGGGGCTTGCAACAGCCGTCGGGAGGAGTGCCGCCAATTCAGCAGCCAGCAAGCAGTAGCCAACCGCAAGGACCGCTGCAACAGCAACTTCTGCCGGACAGAGTGCAACAAGCGCAGCAGGGTGAGTCCGAGCAGCAACGCTTGAGGGAACGTTTGCTCCGTTTACAGCAGTTACAAAGGCAACTTCTTCTTCTGCAAGGACGGCAGCGAACTGATTCTTCTGGTGAAGGCCAGGCATGACCGTAAATCTCTGTCAGTGCATGGTTGCGAGACATGCACACTTTTTATCGCCGACTATTCCTTCTGCGTGTTTCGCCACCCAAAGGGGTAGAGACTGCTCTTGCGACATCTCCCGCCCAATCGCTACAGGCTGTATATATCAGAGATGGTTTACCTCGGCCGGTTTCTTCGGAGGGCTTGACATGCCTGCTGAACTCATGCCTACTGAAGGTGGCGCAGGTGTACCCGAAGCTGCAGCCTGCACAGTTTTTGTTTTGTGACCATGTTGTAGCTTCGTTACGTTTATGTTTGGGAGTTTATTCTTCATCATAGGTGAGGCAACACCGTTAAGCTTTGTTGAGGCTTTCTTTGAAACTCGTCAGGTTGTTTCCACCATCTCCCTTCTCGTGTACAAAAGCAGTCAGAGGCCGTATGCTCATATTATAGGCGCTGACGCCTCATAGTGTGTGCGAATTTTCGGTACGGCCCCTTATTATGATATTCTTTGGATTTTGCCGCCTTAGCGGAAGCAGGCCTTTGAGCCTGTCGGCATCCGTGCCGTTTGCTGCACCGAGTTATTCACTGCAGCATCAACCGTTTCACCTTCAACCTTTAAGTGCGAGTACACAGCTATACCACTAAGTTCTATTCTGCTGAATCTTAGTTTCTAGCTTATCTCGCTGAAGCACAAATGACGGTAAGAGAAGTGCCAATCGACAGGCACAATTTCCTAGAGGGCTACAGCGCATCTCTTCAACACTGCACCACGTATTTAATACTATTGGCAGTGCTCTAAAGTGTGCAGTTGTAGCACCTGCAGTGGCTGGGAAGACCGTTCGACATCGGTCTCTTCGTACCCCTCATCGGCGATGAAAGTAAACAAACCAGATTTGCTTCTCTACAATTGGAGGCTTTCGTGTGAGTCATGCATACTTCTTGCGTATGTAACGCATAGTGGTATCGAGCAGTGCCCTCTAAGGAAACCTTCAAAATATGCTTAAACGCAGGTATCATTGTGGACCCCTGCCGCACTACAAATGCTTTTCAACCCTGTGTTCATATCCTGTGTTCATATCCAAAGCCACCACAGCAACAGTGGTTACGAGACCCCCCAATTCAACTTGCCAGCGAACACTTAGGGAGGAGCAGGTGCATGCATTATACATAATTTGAGAATGTTCATGTTCATGCATTTGCTCAGCTTCTCATGGTTACCCTGTTGCTTAGAGGCCAATCCGAACAACAGAGCAGCGTAGAGGGTAAAAGGAGGAGCTCCGTACAACTTTTTTCCAGTTGTTTCACTCGACTAACACATGAAGTAGAAAGTAATGAAGGGAATATAAGTCACTAATAACATTCTGGGAGAAGAAACTATTCGAGTTGGTATACTACTACCTTGCAGGCGGCAGTGAATGTGTACATGACGCATGCTTCGCAAAATGGATGTTCATTGAGGGCGTAGCTTAGCAGATAAACAGACCTTTATGAATCCGTTGAAAGGGGGACAGAGACCTAAGCAAACATTCACACTGGCTAACTGGCTAGCCGACGAGCTATCTAGCAAGCTAGCTCGATAGTTAGTTTGCCGTTATAGCGAGTGTTTTCTGCAGGTTTGCGGTGTATGTACAGTCGCTTGCGCAGATTTAAAATCCCAATTAAGTAGGCTACATCCTTTCGGCCAAAAACCTCGAGAAGGCTTTATTACAAACAGAAAGTAATTCTCTTGTTGCTTCCTCAGCAACAAACAAGAAACATAAATCGGGTGGCTGCGCGGAACGCCACAGGTTCTTGTGTGCATAAAAAAAGAGAAAAAACAAAACAAATCAAGGACAGAACAAACAACCTGTTCTCCCGCAGCTGCAGGACTGCAACTCACTCCGTGCAATTGCTTCTGCTGCAGCTAGCTACGGCTAGGTGCAGCAGCCGCTAGCTACAGCTAGCGACAGCAGCAGCTAGCTAAACCTAGCTGCGCAGTACCTCAAATGCTCCCCTAGAAGCCAAGCTCCTCTAGCCACTGCAGACGCACAGAGCAGCAGCAACAGCAGCAGCAGCAACAACAGCAACTGAAGCCGCAGCAGCATAGATGATGTGAAACTAATTATTGTCGGGAAGAACGAAAGTACTTTGTTGATGGTGCTTCTGCCGGTGCTGTTGCTGCTGCTATTGTTGCTGCTGCTGGTGGTTTTGTTGTAATTGTTGGTATTGCTGCTATTCTGTCTGCTGCAGCCTGTTGGAGTGTGTGCGACTTCAGGTGTATATGCACCTGCTTGACTATGGCCTTTTTGTTGCCGGAGATGTAAATACAACTGTCTCCTTCCCAGACAGGACAATTGCAAAGAATACGAAGCTCATCAACGAAAGCCTGCAAGCAAATACAAAAAAATAAATAAAATAACGCGAATAAAGATTAAATATACTTTCCTCCTTTAACATCAACATCTGTCTCCGTTTCTGTCTGTCTCCTTTTTAATTATATTTTGTATACATTTAATATATTCTTGTCTTTCTGTCTGTATATGCACACATATATATACATATATATTATGCATATTTGCTATTATTATTGATCTCCCACCACTACTAGTTTCTACTAATTAATTAATTAATTAAATAATTAAATAAATAATTAATTAATTATTGATATATTTCTTTTATTGTTTTGTCTCACTTGTCTATTACCGCTGACTTTACGTACGACGGTTTGCAGTTTGTTTTTTTTTAATCCCCAAACAAAATACACCGGAATATTTCCTGATGCTGCAAGCAGACACACGAAACGCAATCATACCTCTTGCTGCTGATCCTGCTGCTGCTGGCTCGGCTGCTGCTGCTGCTGCTGCTGTTGCTGCTGCTGCTGTTGGTGGCTCTGCTGCTGCTGGATCTGCTGCTTCTGCGGGGGATGATGCTGGTGATGGTGCTCCTGGTGCTGCTACCCCTGTATCCACTTTTCTACTGCTGTTTCTGTTCACGCTGTTGCCGCTGCTGCTGCTACTGCTGTTGCTGCTGCTACTGCTGCTGCTGCTGCTGCAGACCTGTGCGGTGTACTTTGAAAGGGATTTTTGTGTTTAAATTTCGCTGGCGAATTTGCGCCCCCCAAAATATCTCCTTTCCAATCAAACCACTCAGCATGGTGCTGTTAACGCTGCTGCTGCTGCTGCTGTTGCTGTTGTTGCTGCTGCTGCTGTTGTTGCTGCTGCTGCTGTCCGTGCTGCTTATGCTACGGCTGGCGTAAGTGGTGTAGCTGCTAGTGCCCGTGCTACAGCAGCTGCTGGTGCTGCTGTTGTATCTACTGCTGCAGGCGGCGTCAGCTGCAGCAAAACTTCTGCTGGCGCGCCCAGGCTGGTTGGTTGCGAAACCGCTCAAAGGAAGTGTTCCCTTAAATCCGTAGGAACACTCAAAAATTGATTTAACACTGCTTCTGCTGCTGCTGGTGGTGCTGCTGCTGTTACTGCTGCTGCTGTTGCTGCGGCTTCTCCTGCTGCTGCCGGTGACCCCGCAGGCGACTGCCGCTGCTGCGCGAACATCGCTGGCTGCAGCAACAGCAGAATTGACTGCAGCTGCTGCAGTGAAAGGGGAAATGTACGTGCAGATGTGCTGCTGCTGCTGCTGCTGGTAGCAGCAGCAGCAGATCCCGCTGCTTTTTAGGAATAAGAACCGAGGAAGTCGCGCGGGGATACCACAACGGAGCATCATTGAGGTGTACGTACACCCCACAGAGGCGCAGTTGGCACCCAGGGGAGAGGTGGCTTCGTTCCTAACGGCGATGCTGCTGCTGCTACTGCTGTATTTGCTGTTGCAGTTGCTGCCAGTACAGAAGCTGCTGCTCCTCCCGCGCAGCCTCAACCTGATGGTGGTAGCAGCAGCAGCAGCAACAGCAGCAGCAACAGCAGCAGCAACAGCAGTTGCTGCTGCTGTTGTCGCCGTTGCTGCTGCTGTTGCTGCTTCAGCAACAGCTGCCTCGAAGTTGTCTGCTGCTTCTCGCTGCAGCTATGTTGAGGTGTAGCGGCGCTGCAGAGAAAAAATAACTAGGGAAGTTCGGGAATACAGCAATAAAAATAGTTAGGAAGACGTTGTTTAGACTTCATTGGAGAGAGGACTACAGAGAAGCTGAGGCAGCAACTTAAAGCAGCAGCAGCAGCAGCTGCTGCTGCTGCTGTTGCTGATGCTGCTGCATGCGAGTTCGTGCTGGGCATTCAGCACATAGCGCTGCAGCAGCAAGATTCTGCTACTTTTTTGTGTCTGTTTGTAGTATTTTATTCCTTTAATTTTACATAATTTAGTCATTGGGTTGTTCAGGGCTCACGCCAGGCGGCTGTTGCTGCTGCTACAGCTGCAGCTGCTGCTTCCACTATCCCGGATTTCGTGCTACAGCAGCAGCAGCAGCAGCAGTGGCAGCAGCGACTGAAGCAGCAGCACCAGTAGCAACAGCAGCAGCAGCAGGAGCACTCGCAGCGGGGCCTCCACTGGTGCTTTCCGCTGTCCATTTCGTGGCTCGAGCTGCCCGCTCCCCCCCACTAAGCAGCAGCAGCAGCAGCAGCAGCAGCGGCGCATGCAACAGCCGCAGCAGCAGTATGGACTCCCAGGCATTCAGAGTCTTCCCGACTCGTGGAGATCGTAGCAGCGGCAGCAGCAGCAACAGGTGACACTGAGTGCTGCATCGCAGGTACTATTAGTAGTAGCAGCAGCAGCAGCAGCAGCAGCAAGAGCAAGAAGAGCTGCAAAATGCAGTTGTCCCGCCGCTGGTTTCTAGCGGCGGGCTGCTGGCTAATGGCGTGTTTAGTTGCCCCTGGTGCTCTTCGAGTTGCTGCTGCTGTTGCTGCTGCTGCGACTCCAGTGAATACTTTTTTGCCTGAGGCTTCCTTGGGCGCAGGAGGGCTAGCAATTAGCAGCAACTGCAGCAGCGGCGGGAGCAGCAGCAGCAGCAGCAGCATGCCGCGGGCAGCAACAAATGCAGCAGCATCAGCAGCAGCAGCTGCTGCTGCTCTTGCTGCTGTTGCTACGGGCACACTGAGTTTAAGCCCTAATGAGTCCTGGCAGTCAGCAGCAGCAACAACAAATGTGGCGCCTGGAGGGAGGGAGAATTTGCTGAAGGCCTTAGGCGTTGCTGCAGCACCAGCATCATCAACAGCAGCAGCAGCCGCAGCAGCAGCGGGCAGCTACGTTGGGGCAACTCGCTCTCGTCTTGCTGCTGCTGAAGGCCTCTGGCGACGGAGAGCGGCAGTGCGTCGTTTGCAGCAGCAGCAGCAGAAGCAGCAGCAGCAAGTGCATCAGGGCGTGCGTTTCCATTCGATGCAGCAGCAGCAGCAGCAGCAGCAGCAGTCGGCCCGCGCTAGTTTATTTGCACGACGTCTTCCTGCTAGCCTTTTCGGGTGTATGTACACAAGGGGGCTCTTTGCTGCTGCTGCTGCAGCAGCAGCAAAACAGAAACCGGCGTTGCCGCTGGGGCCCCTCTGGACTAAACGGCTGCAGCAGCAACAAATGCAAATGAAAAGAATTGTAGGCGGCAACAACAGCAACATAAGCAGCAGCAACAGCATCAGCAGCAGCAGGTTACTAATAATTATAAGAAGTAGTGTTAGGTTGTATATTATTATTATTATTTGCTGTTTCCCTTCTCGCCTCGCCCTGCACCCCCTTTGATACTCGTTTTTTTGCTGCTGCTGCTGCTGCATCACTGCTGTTTCTGCACCTGCTGCTGCTGCATCTGCTTTTGCACCTGCTGCTGCTATTGCTGCTGTATCACTGCTGCTTCTGCACCTGCTGTTCCTGCACTTGCCGCTGCTGTTGCACCTGATGGTGCTGCATCACTGGCGTTTCTGCACCTGCTGCTGCTGCGCCTGCTGCACCTGCTTCTGCTGCTGCTGCTGCTGCTGCTGCTTCTGCAGGATGCTGGTGGGGGTGGAGACTGTTTGTTTTTGTCTGTTGCTTTGGCTTTACGCGAAGAAGGAAGTAATGTCGATGCCCAACGACTGAGAGATATTGCTGCACTTAAGGTGGCGGGGCTAGCGGAGAGTATGCTGCATTTATATATTTAACTGCATTAAATATTAAATTTAGTCTTCATTTTCTTAATAATAATTCAACTCTTTAATCTATTAGGGTATTGTTGTAAGAAGAGATTTTGCTTTTTTTCGTTTGCTGCTGCAGCAGTCCAAAGCAGTGTCTTTGATTCTCTCTTTATCATTGCCTCTTGCTGTCTCTCTCTTTGTTTTTCTCTGTCTCTCTGTCTCTCTGTCTCTCTGTCTCTCTGTCTCTCTCTCTCTCTGTCTCTCTCTCTCTCTGTCTCTCTCTCTCTCTGTCTCTCTCTGTCTCTGTCTCTCTCTCTCTCTCTCTCTCTCTCTCTCTCTCTGTCTCTCTC